AAAGGATAAAAACAATAAACTCCATGACTCAAAGATAACTTAAGCAATCTCATTCAAATGAACATCAAACATGAACTTCTACCTGAAATAGATATTTTCCGTTATTATTAACAAATTTGCTTTTAGTAAATCTAGCTTTTAAATCATAACTTTTCAAAATAGGTTTCGTAACTTCATGTGGTGTCAGGTAAAGATTATTGGAACTTGCAGATATGTATAAAATTCTTTTTAAAAAGTACATAACAATTTTCGTATAATTCTTATTTTTATTTTTGTAAATCTCTATCCAAAAATGGATTTCTTATAGTGCTTATATATTATAAAATATCTCAATATTATTCGTTATTTTTTAAATAAATTTGGTTTTTATGTTATTTTTAATTCACTTTTTAAAATTAATATTTTATTTTTTTCATAATAAATACTGCAAAACATTTACAAAATAAATACACTGTAATTTCTTTTTTCACAAATGATATCATTACTCTACATCAGTCTTTATTTATTTTTGACAGCTGTCAAAAATCTTAAGCCCAGATTTGACTCATTAAAAATGAAATGTCAATTCAGGAAGTAGTCAATCATGACATTCAACAAATTTATGGAATTTAAAATGTTGCATGTGTGTGTGTTGTGTGTGTGTGACATTGAGGATGTGAGTTGGTTAAAACATTAATTCTAAGCAGGAAAAGAGTTAAGCCCAAAATAAAACATAAACTGGAAGATAGAGAAATTGAGAGAAAGAATGGAAGACATTTTCCCTGGTAATGTGGAAGTGAAGAAAGGGCCATCTAGGTTGCCTCACCCCAACAAATTGGAACAATGCATCAAGAATTTACTTTTTTTATCTATCAAAAATCTGGCATGCATGTAAAGCAAATTGGGAAATGGTTTTGTATATTTCTTAGGAATTTAGAAAAATACATGTCATTGGTGAAAAGAGAAGTAAACGGGAATTATATTTTCATTAGCAAAAACAAATTGAGAAATGAAAAAAGAGAATGAACCCGCTGTGGGGGTGAGGATTATGAAAATCGATCTGTCATAACAGGCAGGTGATCTGGTTTATGTTTTTGCTAATATGGCTACCAGATCATGAATGGAAAACAGCATGTCTCTTTGTTGAGAATTTAGAAAAACAAATATATTTTCATTGGCAAAAACAAATTGGGGAATAATTTTTATCTATTTCTCAGAAGGTTAAAATGAGAAGGTGATCTGGTTTGTGTTTTCACTGTACAGGTTGATCCAGGAAAGGAGTTAGAGAACTTAAATTACTGAGGAGAATAAACCATACCCTTTCTCCTACAAACTTTAAAAATTAGATTTGTCACAAAGAGTTATGCCAGCCCTGAGAAAGTATTCTCAGGGCTGGCATAACTGCCAAGGAAGAAGGAAAGGATAGAATTTAGCCCTGCCTGTGCAGAGTTGGAGTTAAGGGTGGAGCAATCCCTGTAACTAGTTCCAAGGAAGGTGGATAATTCTCCAAGTTTGGAAAGTTGATTAAGAAAGCAGAAATAGGGAACAAAAATCCTTTATTGGAATTAAAGAGGACTGAATCACCAAGACCTCAGAACCTTTTGGCTCCAAACCAGTCTTGGGCCAAAGTGCATATAAGCAGATGACTTTGGGGAGCTCAGAGATTTTGGGCTGGAGAGCCTGCATCAAGTACCTCTGAAATCTGTATCAGCTGCCATCAGATTTCCTGATTCTAAGACTTTGAATCCAGCTCCTCCAGAAGTTTAGATAATGCCCAGTGTTACTATAGAGATTGATGTGGGAAGAGTTACTTTTTGTTATATCAAGAGCTATATAAAGCAACTGAAGATTAACCCCATGAATCTCTTGTTTTATTTTTTCATTGTGAAGATATTTTTCTTCCTTAATATAGCACCCGCCACAGCTTGGACTGGTGCTACGATATGATGACATTCAATCTTCCACTGCTCTTAGATCAAGAACACATGAGCAGAGTTGGTGTGGATCAAAGTGATCAACCATCTTGGACCAGAGTCAGTATTGACCAGCACAGAGTTAGCCCATGGTTAAAACATCATTCTAAGACTCTGAGGACCAAACCACTAAATGTGGTTACACCACTGTGTGTAGGCAGCAGCAAAAGGTGTTGCATTAATTGGTGACTGTGACGAAGGATATGACCCTGTTGGCAGGTGGTGTTATATGTGTGTGTATTCACATATGATAAGCAATTAAAGAGAAGTATACAAAAACTTGGTTTTCTACCATGGAAACCATTTATTCTTTTCTATGGTGACTGTAGTGAAACAAAGTTCTCAATGTCTCTTGGGTATGCCCGTTTTCTTTTTCTTGGTTTAGCAGTTATGGTTGTATTAATGGTTGAATTCAAGTCAGCTTTGCACAGATTTAGAACAACCAAAGAACATTTTGTACTTACTGTTGAAAGTTTTGGGAGACATGTGTGAATGCCATGCATTGAAAAGTGAAAGAGAGTTCGGTCATCATCAGACCGAGGAAGCTTATGTTCCCTAACAGGAATGTAATTACCATGTGGTTCTAGATCTTGGAGCAAAAAAGAGAATGATGCAGGGAATTGTTTTTTTTTCTTATAGACTTAAGCAGTGCTGCCTAACAGTGTTTGACAAAACCAAATAGGGTAATCATATTTCTGGTTCCTTTACTCTTAGCATCATGGGAAAATGTATTTCTATTTTTTATTATTCACTTTCACGCAACTATTGGTCAATTTCAGGAGACATCACAAACAATTAGAAACCAACAAAAAAGTTCTTAAAAATAAACCTAATGCTTGTGTCTGGTTTCTAGAAATAAAAGAAAATCAGCTTCACTTGAGCTGGCTTGATTTTGACAGCCAAGTTAGAGAACACATCATGTGTTCATTCAGATAGAATAACCAATCAAATGATTCTGTTTAGCTTTTGTAGTGATATGTAAATGACTGCCTAATTAGCATAGCTAAGGCATAGAGATGATATAAGTGTCCAAGCAGTAAGAGAAAGGGCAGAATATGAGCTGCGAGATTAACAACTACCACTAGACTGAGAAAATACAAAAGAGATCACATATTATAAAATTTCAATACCCTAAACTTAGAATTCAGTGGTTAATCTGAAAACAAATAAAAAAAAAACTGCTAAAAGTCAAGACTGAATTGCTATCATGGCAACTTGAAAAAAATCTGGTTGACTGCTTTGCACAAACTACCATTACAGACACAGAGACACTAGCTGCTAATTGATTGTCATTTTTCTCTTCCTTCTGAACATACTTCCGTTTTCTTATCTGCATGTCATCTTTCTTACACCCAAACAAGTTTTATTCAATCCAACTGACAAGGTCTGTTTAATTGTTTATTGTACTTTTCAAATTTTTTAACAAGATGTATATCAGGATTAAAATTATGGATTAAACTGTCCAAAGTTCATGTTTGTTTTGTTGTTTTTGTTGTACTTCTGGCCATTGCAGTCATTATCAAGTTGTGTTGTAAGTATGGTAGGAAACATCCCATTCAATACATCCTGGTATTTTATAGAGAGCTATTTGAATCTTTCCTATATATATACATATTTATAGAACCCTTTTAATTAATGTAAAGCCAAACTGAAAACTGTGAACACTAATAACATATATCTCCATAATCTTTTTTGTATATACCCATTTGTGCACAGTTTTTTTTTTTTATTTGATTGATTATAAACCTAATCTCCAGGGCGGGGGGGATCTTCCTCCTAGGCAGTACCTCTCAGTGATCTTAATCTGAACTTGTTGGCATGTAAAAATTTTGGAGGCATGTGAAAAAAGCCACATAAAAAGATAATCACCATAAATAACAGGCTAAAAATAAAAAATAAAAGTAGAGTTCAAGATAAAATTTAACATTTGCAAATATAGTAGAACGCATATTATGAAGTATAATAATAATACAAAATAGAATTTTAAACCAATCACCGTTTGTTTGAATTTAGTGAAAACAAATGTGTACAAGTCTTTGCAACAGGTCAAGATCAGTCATGTGCAACCAAATTAGGAAGAGAAAGAGAAGGAATAAGAAAACAAAGACAATCAGTTTCAATTAAGAGTAATAAATAAGGATTTTTCCGTTTAGACAATTTAATTAATTTGTTTTGCAGGAAATAAAAGGTATTTAATAAGCAGACGATAAATAACCGCCATCTTGAAACATTATTGCCATCTTGCAGCGTGCCCGGTAAACGGAACACTGGCTAAACCATCAAATCTGTAGAAAATAAAATTTAACAAGGGACCTAGTGCCTGTTTTTATAATAAGTCGGATGGGTTCATAACAGCTTCACTGCTTCAGTCATAACGACAACAACACATGTGACTTGTTTTTAAAATATTTTCTCTAAAAAGGAAACCGACAATAACAACAAAACAAAGGTCACAGTCCAATGACTTAAACTAAAACACAATGATGCCCACAAAAATACAGCTGGGTCTGCTAGCTATTTTAATTAAATTTTGAATTGCACTACAGATAAACTCCCACGATGAGTTGATAAGAATTCTATTTTAAATTTTAAAAAAAGTTGCTTCTTCTTCTGAATTGCCAGAGAAAGCAATAGCTATTTTACAATAAGTGTGAAGACTTCAGATCTCTTCGCCGAGGGAGGCATTTTTTAACTTGTCTCCTGAATTGTTGACGACAAAAGTTGTGCAAAATGTGATCAAACACAACTATCCTCATCATCCCTGAAACTATGCGTTACGAATTATGTATGTTGTGTGATTTTCCTCATTGTTAGTCTTTTAATAATATTATTAACTTTAAGAAACTAATAATCTTAAAATAAGGTTAAATTTTAGACATGTGTGCCAACTGGGAAACATTAGAAGTAGGGAACCGTAAGCTTCCGGTGTCTGTAGTGAACCGGAAGTTGCGCACAGTTGTCTAAAGTGACGTGGACTGCCCGAACAAGTGGCGATCCATAGCTCAAGGAAGAAGACGACTTTTTTATTTTTAAAGAAGGATTATGCACATGTTAAGGAGAGATAAAAAAGATGAGGAGGATGGTAAGTGAGACTTTTAAGAATATATTTAAAAATTTTACTAAATTTATAATTCCCGTATCTAAAAGATTGTTTTCATGGCTTATGTTTTTACTTTTTTCTTCAACGAAGGTGTGGACGACGTGGATAAAATAAGACGAGTTATACCGAGACATTTATCTATTTCGATCCCTTGTTTTGTTTATTTCGGATATTTGTTTATTTTTTAAATAAATAATGTTTATCCCATCTTGTTTGTTTCTGTCGCTAAACTCAGTTAATGCATGTCTTCGTCCAGCTGGAATTTAGAAAATCTTTCAGTTCTTTTTAAGTTTTTATAAATTGACAAAAAATATAATTTGGATATTTAAAAAATTTTCCTCTATATCATGAACGACTTTATTTTGAATAACCTATTTTGTTTATTTATCTGATTCAATTTCCTAAATAAATGATGACATGTCACTTTTTTGTTGTGGTTCTAACTTTTGTCATTTCAACATTTTCGGTGAACAGTGAATATTTGACTTGTCCGATTGTAAAATCTTTCGAAAATATGTGTAGAGTCGATTTTAGCGCTTCAAATGATTTTTTAACATAACACTAATTTCCCCTTACGATATTTTTTCGTTTTCTTTCGATTTTCATTTTACTTCTTTGTTTTTTGATTTTGTTTTTTTTTGTTTTCTAATTCTTGTAACTTTGGTCATAAATATTGAATTAAAAATAAATTTCGTCTGATGTAAAGGACATAAACCAGTTTTATGTACAAATCGTTTGAAACGCTAAATCCAACTATATACCTTCTTTTTTTTTTTTTTTCACTACTTAAAAAAGAAATATTATCTTATTTACTAAATGATAGTTAATAAAGGGAGATACTGTCAAACGTTTTTCAAAACTTAATGATACGAGAGACTTCCCTCCACCAAAAAAAAAAAATTAAAAAATGTATAGAAAATTAAAAACAAAGGAACATTTTTTTTTAAATACGTGTCACAGTCAATGACAATTCATTTCATTTATTTGATACTTTTACACTCCGAGCCTGTAATTTTCGTCAAATGTTTTCCGTAACACGTTTGTATTTTTATTACAATGGCTAAAAAAGGGTTATAATCAGTGCAATTAATTCATTTTTAATTTTAAAAGTAGTCGCCCATGAAATCTGACAAACAAAAATATATAGAGAACAAGTGTTTCTAAACCTTACCTTATAGCAGTAGTATTTTATTTTTATGATATTATTCGTTTTAATTTCTGTTTGTATCCATTGCAAGACTGACAGATTCAAAATCTAACCAAGTCCCTCAAAGTTTTTTGACATTGTTATATTGTTTAGTACAATGATTATCTTGTAAAATTCAAGATATGTCACTTTTTTTATTGCATCCCGGAGTTGAGGGAAAATAATTTACATTGCACCTTCTTGAATATTATTGTAAAAATAAAATATACTAAATAAAAATCGTTAGAAATTGTGCGCTAAAGCAAGTAAATGAATAATTCTTTCAAACTATGCACCTTTTTTTCTTTCTTTCTTTTTTTTAAGTAATGACAATGAGTGACTGAAAAGATAATTGAGTGGCTAAAAACTAAAGTGATCACTGATAACCTAGTAAAGTTTTCCAAAATAAGCTCTGATGACTGAATATTTAAAAAAAAAAAAGCCTCCATATATATTGTGACTCCCTGATTAAGTCTTACTTTTTTTTTTCTTTTTCTTTTTTTTAAATTATTTACAGTCAAACTAATGAATCGCTTCATCTTTGTTATGATCCCATTTCTGGCCTTCATGTATCTGTTGATCCAGGTAATCTACAAGAAATTTCAAATTACAGGTGTAGATTGTTCTCATTCTGCTGTGTCAAGGGATGTCTTGTCTTGGTTAATCAGTTTATTGCTAGTCCTATTTTCATTGAGTCAAAACATATATCCATACTACTTTCCCTTGGGATTGAACTTCCAATTATGTAACCTTTCACTAACCAACATTTAAATTCATAATCCTCTTGCTTGAGTTGTTTAAGTTGAGATTCTCTGAAGGTCACTTGGATTGGCAGGTACCTAAAGCGAATGATTGGAGGGGGACAGAGTGATTAAAATGTTGTGATCATAACATCAAAGATAAAGATATTACTTCAACTGGCCTAGAGGATTAGATACTTTGGTTAGTTAGTTTGGTGATATAATAATTTTGAGTTCAATCTATGGGCTGGATAGTATGGATCTACTCAAATTCAGTGGCAACAGGACTGAACATTTCACCAAGATAAAATATCCCTAGATATAGTAACAGTGGAATGAGAAGATCCCTGTAGATTAAATGAAGTAATGAAATGTTCAGTTTGAAATTCCCTGATAGTTGCCTAGATTGACTGACACCTGTAGAAGGCAGGGGGGACAATTGCTGAAACATTGTAATTATCATAAAGATTAGGACATTAATAAATAATTTCTTGTACCATAAATTCAGACAGAAATATTGCTTTTTGTTATTTACTTCAGTCAAGAACATTACTTTTAATTGTTTAACAATTTCAATGAGTTAATTGACGTAGAAAAATGTCTGTGTTTCTGAACAATTTCCATTACTGGCAGTGGTGAGTTAAACTTGGGAAATTTTACAAGTAAACAAATGCATTTATCAAGTATGAACTGTTTTTTTTTTTTTTTTTTTTTTTAAATGTAAAGATAACCAATTTATAAACAGCATGAAAAATGTTAAAGAGCCACCAGATAATCCTTATCTTTTCCTTGACTGTAAATACTAGTATATTCATACTTTTGAGGTACTAGTATTGAAATTGTGTGTCAAGATTTTTTTAGTTTTTTAGAAGGCTAAATGAAGAAAGGACTTCATCTTTCTTTCTATTTGTTTAACTGCTATTTTTATATGAGACAATAAGTTTCATGTTTGAATAACCATTATATAAATTTTGAAAAAGCCTAACATTTTAATTTATAGAAATATTTTGAAAGATTGCATTAATAAATAGTCAAAATAGCAGTGTTTTACTAATGTTGAGGTAAAAGAGTTATGATTATATACCTTAATTTTGTTTATATTTCTGAAATGAGGTATTGTAACTATTTACATTGTTTGGACTGGTGTCCTCATCTTTACTGTCATGTTTTGGACATTGTACACTCCAGCCTTCTTCAGGTGTTATTTGTTGGAATTTCAAACCACAACAAATTTAGTCCACAGGAGTATATTATTCTAATTCCATATAGCATGCCTTTGGATATCTGTTTCAGTTAATTCACCTTGATAACTCCACTGAAGCCAGACCAAAGTCTTAACTCTTTGCATCAAGTCACTTTTTTGTTTGGTCAACCAATACTTTTATCCATTGGACACTGGTGGGTGAAATTTTGAGGCTTATAAATCTAATGTCTCATAATATATTGACAGAATGAAGGCTTGGCGATGGGCTCACCATTATCACCAGCAATGGCTAACATATACATGTAATACTTTGAGGAAATGGCATTAGAGAATCAACATCACTAAAGCCAACTCTGTGGTTGAGATATGTAGATGACACCTTCATACTCTGGCCTCACCAAGAAGATGTTTAGTGGACCATGTGAACTCAATAAGACCATCAATACAGTTCACAATGGAGAAAGAAAACAACTAGCATTCCTGGATGTACTAATATCTCAAACAGAACATGGGTTCGAGACATGTATACTGCAAGCCAACATTCACCAGACAGTACCTCAACTTCGACTCCTACCACCCATATAGTGTAAAGAAAGGGATCATTCACTGCCTACAACATCAAGCAAAAGTCATAAGAGGCAACCCAGAGATATATGAACAAAAAATGGTCAGCCCACAAAACTGGGATAGAAGTGTACAAGATGATGACATTGCTCAGAAAAGTCACATTTTACCTACCCTTTGTGAGTTGCTTATCGGAAAAGATACAAAAGATCTGTTGTCCTTATGACATCAGTACAATCTTCAGGAGTGCTTAAGCACTATGCAGACATCTTTCAAGTAAGACGAACCATAGAGGAGAACATAACTGTATATACTCTACCCCATGCAGTTGTGGCAAGAAATATAATGGAGAAATATGACTAACCCTTAAGATAGGACTTCAGATATACTATAAGACCATAACACAAGAGGAAATAGAAAAATCAGGCATGGCTGAACATATATGTAGAGAAAAGGGAGATCACTACCCTCTGTGGGATGAAGTTGAACTAGAACATCATTGGAAAATGCAAAAACTTAAGGAATCCATGCATATCCTAGGCTACAAAAAATCTCCTAAGCTGGACAAAAATAGAAATGAATACAATGTAGGAACCATTAAAACAGAGAGTTGGAGAAAACCAATAACAAATGAGGTGAAAAATTATAGAAAAAAATGTAATATGAGCTCTGTCAAAAATGGGAACTGATACACAGATTAGCATCTCCAGTGGATAAGTGTTGGTTGATTGATCCAAAAAGTAACTTGACCCTAAAAATTGTAAGTTCAATTCCCAGCCTCATTGGAGAGAACAAAAACTTGGAGAGTTACCAAGGTGAATTAACTAAAACTGAGATACCCAAAGGCATGGCATGTGGAATTAGAACAATCTACCTCCATGGACTAAAGGGTTCAGTTTAAAATTCCAACAAATATCACCTGGAAAAGTCTGGAGTGTACAATGGCTAAAACTTTGTGAATGTGACAATAAAGATGAGGATAACAGTCCAAACAATGTAAAGTGTAAATACTTTGATTTTAATGACAATATTTCACATTACTTGATGATCAAATAACTAATAAAAAATATATACAGTGTAACCCAGATATAAGAGAGTTGTCGGGACCGGAGAAGAAGTCTCTTATATCCGGGTTTGGTCTATTTTGTTTAGGTAAGTATGGCTCTAATTTGGGACCAGAGAAAATCTCTCTCATATCCGGGTTACACTGTAGTAGCTAATAAACATGTAGATCTTCAATTCTTTTCACCGACAGACATCCAATACTAAAAATAGCATTGAGACCCTGACAGTTAAGGGAGGTTACTGAACAGTTACAGCAGGGACAATAAAAATCAATATAAAGTAATATAATTCCAAGTTTTATAATGTCTACTTTAATCAAAATTAATTAGTTATTTGAAGACAAGCCTTACTTTATTGTTCACTCACAAAAACTTACAGTTGTCTACTTGTAAAATCTGTGAACCACTTTGTTGTAATTTCTTTTCTTTTTTTGAAAATAAAATCATGATGTGTGACCTTTTAAGAAAATAATAGATGGATGAGTGTATTAAATGTATAGTCAGGAAAAAAATAAATCAAATTTCAAAGATTTATTGATATCATTTGTGGATGAAAAGAATTTCCTCATCATAAATTCAAATTCCTAGGATTTTAACAAAGATGCATTTATTCACCTAAATATTTGTTTCAAAATTTGTTATATCTGAAAGTCAAAATTCAATTTCTACTACAAAATCCTAAATTGATATTGTGTATTAATGGTCACATGTCATTTTGACACTGATTCAATGCAGCTGCTAAGCTGTGTTTTTAATTATTTAAATAATATTAAAAAAAAGGTTAATTTTTAATGCCATTAATAATTATTTTCACTATTTACCCAACAATTTATAGACAATTCTAAATGAGTTTCAGTAGCCTTTTATTTTCAGATTAAAGATTGTTACTGTTTAACTCATTTAAAACCCATTTCAAGCAATTTCAAATCATGATCTTTATATAAAACTCTTAACCAATTAAGTGTCAATATCTCATTACATTAACTTCCTTGCTTCTTTGACAAAATCACATGACCAGTCAGCCAGAAGTGCTTTAAAATTAAGATATTAAATATAATATTCAGATAAATGTTTACTTGTCTTAAAATTTAATATATGTATGTAATGAGTGGTAATATTTTTATCCAAGATTTTTTAAAACTTGTTTATGCTTCTGATTGCTTGTTATATTTTCAGGAGGAAGTAATCCATACAATCATCTGGAAAAAGCCACTGTTCTTCAAGAGGTTTGTTAAACTTTTGTCAGCTGTTGTGGTTTTATTTACTGCTTTTGTAACTGGTTGAGTGTATATTCTCAACTTTTACATTTTAAATATTCAGAATAGTTATATACTTACCAGCAAAAATGAATAAAATTTGAACAACTTTTAACAAATTAATATTTTATTAAAAAGACAGTGTTTAGGTATAAGGCTTTTTTTTTTATTATAGCATAAGATATAAATGTCTTCACCAACAAGAAAGTAGTTTGGTAGTAATGAGGAAATATAAATTTACTGTTGGTTGTCATTTCATGCAGGGGTTTGCATCTGAAAAGATAAATTACAATCTGAACATTACTTGCTTTAAAAAAAGGTACATGAGGCTAAGAGATTAACAGATTCTTACTCATTATGAAATCTCATCATTTATTAGTGGTAAAGAAGATGAAATTAATTATTATCTGAATTATTGCTGCATATAACTTTAGTTTTATTCTGTCATTAGCTTTATTTCTGTAGTCAGTTATGTGCTGGAAAGATGAGAAGTGAATTAATTCTCAATTCTTGTCTCCTTGTAGATAAGTAACTTTCTAAAACTGGAACCATGGGGATTAATTTGAATATATAGTCTTTCTCCTTAGAGATAAACTGAGGGTTTAAAGTGTATAGCAAGAAAGCCATCTTGATATTTTTAGAGAATGACTGCATCAAAAAAAGTGTTGGCTGATTGGCTAACTGCATTCTGTATTTTCATTGGTAAAAAATAATATATGCTAAAATTCAAAAATTTTTTATGCTTTTCTATACAGATTTTTGTTTGTAAAATCTAAAACTATCCTCTACATTTTATATGACTTCTATGTCTTATGTCAGTCATTTATTGTGTCCCATGTAGAAATCTGAAGAAAAACCTGCTTTAATTTTAAAGAATTTTGAATTATTTTTCAAACAAGAAAAAAAATTTAAATTGCCAGTAAGAATAAATAATTTGTGGTTTTATTAAGATACCAGTTAGTGAATCAAGAATTGGATTATAAATTGCATATGTTCTTGTTCAATACTGTGATAGGATAATTTTAAGATAAATTTAATCTGACAATAAGATAATGTGCCATAATGATTTCCTATGAATTGTTTTCAAAGAAATCATGTAAGTTATTCCTACATAATGATTGTTATTACTTTTAATCTCATTGTTGTTCTTTCTTACATGGATGTGAAGATATGTCCCTCAGTTTGGTCCCCAAGTTGATGAGGGCAAGGCTTTGTGCGTATATATATATATATATATATATATATATATATATATACACACACACACAAACGAATGGTTCGTATCTTAGCATGGTCAATTTGTCAGGAAGGTGACTTCTTGATGTTATTGTTTTTTGTGGGGCACTGCAGCACCTTTGGAAAGTGCTTGAAATCCATACCATGAATTGATATGCTGACATTGTTTAGGTTGTTGATCAAGCCAGATAATGCGCTCTCTTCCAGAAACTGTAACTAAGGTCCACTCCACATAGTTGCAGTATAAACCACAGCTGGGCTCTGTGGGTGTTGAACAAACACAAATGTGTCTGGGTTGGCATTTCTAACAGGGATTGGCTAGCCACTCTTGTAGACCAGCATCCAACCTTTTATTTATATATATATATATATATATATATATATATATATATATATATATATATGATATGATAAATCTGCATGACTTGAAAAAAGTAGTTACCTCCTGGTTCTCTCTCTCTGCTATTCTAAGTATTTCAATTTAAATACTTAGATGTGATTAAAAACTGTGAGACTTATAAATATGTATGCCACTGCCTGACCATTATGCATGAGTTAGTGTATCACACTTTATATCTGGATTTTCTTTTCAGATAGAAACAAGAATCAAATAAATGTTTGTGTTTCTGTCTCTGCTTGTAAGAAGACTTTCGTTGAAAAACTGAAATTTTGTTTGTAGCCATTTCAAAACAGGCTCAGAATAAGGCACTACCTATTGTACAAATTCAGTTGTTGTAACCTGAAATTCAGACATGAATGTCATTTTATAGGATAGTTATATTTTGATTTTTATACCTCTTGAAAAATTAAAACTTTTCCTTGGATATTTTTTTCTTCATTTTAACTAAATTTTTTCCACTCCCATACTTAAACCTTTAATTATTATACTGAAATATTTAGAATAATTCATGTGTTTGCTATTAAATATCATTTGCAGAGCCAAGTAAGGCAGTAATCTGAGTTGGTATAATCTATTTTATCTTTCAGGCCAGAACTTTCAATGAAACACCCATAAATCCACGAAAATGTGGTCAAATTCTGACCAAAATTCTTTATCTTTTGAACCAGGTAAGTTACTAAATTTCCACTTCTATTAATATTGGTTGGGTGATGAAAAGTTCTTTGCTTGTTCAAGAAACCATTTGAAAACCCTTTTAGAAAATGAGTTTTGAACACCCCTTCTCTGTGTGTGTTGTGATTTACTGAGATTAGGTAAAGCAGGAAAAAAACACACTTTTCTAATTTAGTAAACTGAAAATAAATCTCTTAAGTTTTATCACTTTAAAATTTTACTTCATATGCTGTCAAATATAAAGAAATTCTTCTTCCCTACTCCAAAACAAAATAAACATTTGAACATGTTTAGGCATTGTTAAAACCTGTCACAATCATAATGTTTTATTCATTTATAAGTAAAACAATGTTTCCTGATAAACTCACTTATATCTTATACACTCCATTTCTTTCTTGTCCTTGTGTATCATTTTTGAAAATTAACAAAAATTTAACTAAATTTTAAACAAAATATGCCTTCTTATTTTTCTTTCCTTTTTTCCCTTTCTTTTTTCCTCCTTTCCTTAAAGAATTTGACAATTTCACATGAAAATCTTCATACTGATTATTAATAATTACCAAACATTTTTTTTTTCTTTTTTCATTTTTTATCATTATTTCCGCAGGGTGAATCCTTTGGTCGCACTGAAGCAACTGAAGCATTTTTTGCTATGACTAAACTTTTTCAGTCTAAAGATGTAAGTCCTTTTTAAATTTTCCTTAAATTCAAATTATTTTGTTTGGGATATTCCAGACATTTTCAAACAATAAATTATTTGTGGACAGCTTGTCTTAGATTAATGAACTAGTATAGCAGTTCAGTCCTCACTGTATGCTCTGCATTCATGGCCTTGTGCTAGATTAATCATAAAATGATACTTGTATCTATTAACTTTTTCTATAATTCAGTTGCATTTGTGGATGTTGTACATCAAGTACATGATAAATGCCTATATTATGCATTTTTTTTTTTTCTTTGGAGGGGTATTCTTTTGCTGGTTGCAAATAGGTTTATCATTTTAAAATTGGTTCTTCGAAGTTTTTGAAAACACACAGGTTACTGTGTCAACTGCATAGGTATATTGATTGACAACTTTTTGCTATGATTGTTATATATTGCTGCTATTGCATCAGGCTATCTGTTTATTATAACAATATTTGCTGAATGTAATAGTTTGGACTAAACTGATGTCATTTGATGTTGGTATCTTGTCTCTTCTTATGCACTACATAGATATTTCATGTGAGTGTCCAGGTCATGTACTGGTTAGTGACTCTGAACAAAGAATCACTGAACAAAGTCCAATTCCAGTTGAATTAAATTCACTTGTGCCCTTGGAAAAGATATGAATCCAGTTCCTTCTGCACCTGCTTTTGGCTAAATAATAGGGCAGATTGGACTGTTCATCCTTGTTTGGCAACCAGTATAGGAGGATAACAACTCAGAAATTCAAAACTGGTCAACCATGGGGCTAACAATTCCATCCCATGAAAAACCTACTTGCCATGAAAACTAGCAACAACAATGTTGAGGCTGTGGTTCTTCTCACCCATACTCTACATGGAATTTATGGGACTTGAAAGAAATATTTTATATTCTTTGTTCATTGGACTTTGTGTCTGTTGTTAGAATAAGGAACATCACTGCTGATGCACTTCTTTTTTTTTTTTTTTTTAATTTGTCTGAGACTTTGAGTTGGTATTAATATTCAATTAATATTTCAAACTGTCCATTTTTTTTATTTTTTTTCTCATTAGCATTTTTGACTGGTTTGTTCTTTCTTAGCCTTTGACAAGGGGGACTTTTGGTGTCAAATTTGTTTTTGGCAAATAAATTAACTATAACATTTTGAGTGGGCAGAAAATAAATGTAAACTAAAGATGGTTTTTTAAAAGTTAATTATCTGTAATACATCTCTCTCTCTTTTTGTCATTAAAGGTGACAGTGAGACGACTTGTTTATTTGGGGATTAAAGAGATGTCCCAAATTGCTGATGATGTTATCATTGTCACCAGCAGGTAAGTCTGTACTTATTTTTTGATTTTGCTTTCCTGAAGCAAGTTAATTTTCGAAATATTTCACTTCAATATACTCTATCCATTTTCATGTGATGTTTTCAAATATATCTTTTTAAGATTGTCTATTGCTAATTATTATTTTTATTACATACACATTTGTTTGGATTGATGTTCTTATTATTATTACAGTTGTACCCTCTGACCTTCAAATGTTTCTCAGTCTGAGTAACCTTCCAGGAATTCAGAACTGAATCCTTTATTCAATTCATGAGGATAGATTGTTTTTATGTTAGGGGACATCTCATATCAGTTGATTCTTGTTAATTCAGCCTTGTGATGTTGCTTGTCCCTTCCTATATGACCTTCCACCCCACACTACCCCCTCTTCATTTTGTTGGTTACCCAATACAAATAACAAAGAGCATTAAGTTTTTAACTCAGTTGAAGAACCAGAGTTGTGACTTTAGGTTTGAGACTTCAAGTTTCTACCAATAAGTTGTCTTACAAGATACATGGTCACATGAATAAAACATTGATTAAACAAACTAGTTACTTAATGGCCCTATGTTCAATTCCTGGGAAGGAGGGCAAAATATCATATACTCATAGACATGATGAGGATAAATTAATAAAATGGAAATAACCAAGATTAAAATTTTTTCTAGTATGGACAACAGAATGAGAACAATCTGCTCTCATGGACTGAATTACCAGACACCTGAATAAGTCTAGAGGGCACAATGGCTGAAACACTTAAAAAAAAAAAAAAAAAAAAAAGTAAATTCCTACTTGTAAAAATCCAGATAAAAGACATTACTTTTATCCTTACAAGGAAATATATTTCAATAAAATGTAAAATATTGTTTATCAAATTTTTGTATTTAAAAACTTTGAAATTCTCAAATTAAAGAAAGGGTCTGTTCACTGTGTATTAACAATGAGATGGCAGCTTTAAAAAAAACTCTTTATGATTAAAATTAAAGTGTTCACTTAGTTTTAAAAATAAATATATGGATTATCTCCATAAAATATATACACATTTTGTTTATATCTTTTATGGTTAACTTTCATCATAAACAATGTTATATAAAGGAAAATATAAGTTTTGAAAACGTTTTCAAACTATTATTCTACTGAAAGACTTTGTTGAGAGGCTTAGTTATAAACATCAACTAATGTATTATTGTCTGCAACTGAAAAGAATTCTTACACAATTACAAAATATCTATCAGTTAATGTTTATATTATGAAAGTATTTCAACTAATAACTATAGCCATAAAAGTTGCAATTTACTTTCTTTATAATTTTTTTTATTTATTCTTAATAAAAGTACAAAACTATTTAAATATTCTCAAATGGTATATAAAGAATCTTGTCTTCTCAGCCATTTTCTTTTTATACTTTTGCAACTATGAATGTTTAAGCTATTCTTTTTCTCCTATTTTTTCTCATACCCCATAAACTTAGGGGATTTCTTTTATGCAATTATCAATATAATTGCATTGGTTAACATTCAGAATAACCATAAAAAAACAGTTGTAAAAATAAGTATAAAAATAATTTATTCTGTTTTGATTGTTTTGTTTTTTTTATTATTTTGTGCTTAGCTTAATGAAAGACATGACTGGACGTGAAGACCAATTCCGAGGGCCAGCCATAAGGGCTTTATGTTCCATCACTGATGTAAGTGTAGTTTTGAAACCGAAAAATTTGTCCTTTTAAAATTTCCATAAACAACTCTGGCTAGCAATGATTTGGTCCACTTAGTAAGGAATATTTTTCCAGATAAGAAAAGTATCTTTCATTTTCTGAGTAGACATTTGAGTGAGTCTTAGAAGCAGACATGTACTAACCAAATATAGGAACAACTCTTAGATAATAACATTAAAAGAAACTGGGAATTTTCTTTTAAAATATTTTTTTGTTATATAGAAATCAGTGTGAAACCATATTCATTCATTTGTCCAAATTGCATTTGAATAAAAAGAAAAGGCAAAATGTGATGATACAAATTCTGTCAATAATGTTCTCCAAGCTGTAAAAATCCAACACTCTCTAATTTAATATAGATCAATAATTCAACTAAGACCTGAATATATATGCACTAATAATCTCTTATAAACAGAACTAAGATGAAAAATCCTGTTGTGCTGTGGAAATAGATCTTAAAGCACACTGAACTCCAGCCTCCACACACACACACTTTATCATTTATATCAATTATAATCAATGAAACTGTTCATCACAAAATTTTATATCATAACAGATGAGTTAATCCTGATAAGTATCTTATCAATTAACTTGTATAATTGTAGTTGAATTCTTATTTTAATATTTGTTTTTTTTTATTCATTCTTGGAACATTGGAAATAAATATCAAAATATTGATTATCTACAAATGTTTTCAGTTATTTTTAGTTTAAATTTTTGCTCAATATTATGCTTGTGAGATTTTTTTTCTGTATTCACATTGCCTGTTGGTAGATTAGATGTTTGCCAAACCTTTTAATGATATCTTTTCTGGAAAGTACATTTTTGCTGAAAAATGATATTTCCTAAAATGATGCTTACTAATCAAAAGTTTAATGTACTAGAAGAAAAAATTAATATTTTATTTGCAATATCAGTTTCTATTCTATTTCTGTCTCTCCTTAAATCATATCTATGCCTATTGCAATGAAATCTGTGTCTATTACAGAGTAGCATGTTACAAGCCATTGAGAGGTACATGAAACAAGCAATAGTTGACAAGGTTCATTCTGTGTCTAGTGCTGCCCTTACATCATCTCTGGTAAGTCATAATCATTTCTTTTTCTTTCTTTGAAGGAGGAAATATCCATTATGAGTCAAATGAGCCTAAAGGCCAATAATAAAGAATGGATAAAAATTCTTTCAGATTTTATGGCAAAATCCACAACTACTTTTTTTTTTTTTTTTTTTTAAACTGTCAGAAAGTCAGCTGTTCATTTTTGACAAGGGTGTGTTTTTTTGTCTGTCTAAATTCATTAAATCACTAATATCTCTACAAAAAAAAAAAATTATAGCCTTTCTCAGTGAAAAATCAGCTGTCAACCAGGAATCAATCTTCAACCAAGTGAAACTGATGTGACATCTGCTGCTTCAGAAAGTAACTGGATTAGCTGAAGCCCATGTGTTGTACCTTTCTGTTCTAGACCTATTTATTTTCTTTTTCAGCATCTGTGCAAAACTAGTCCTGATATTGTGAAGAGGTGGGTGAATGAAGCACAGGAAGCAGTCAACAGTGACAATGTCATGGTGCAGGTGAGTCATCTTGAATTACTCTCTCCTCCCCACTCGTTACTTGTAATTTGAATAGCTTTACCAATACTGAGACGTAAATCTTGAAGGTGGGGGATATTGAATTTTGCAAAAGGCAGCCAGATGTCAAACTTAATATAACTGACAAGATTCTGCATAAAGACTTGAAAAGCTTATTAAAATAGATTATTTCCTCTTACTCCATAGACATCCTAAGTATGAGACGATAAACTACATCTGGCAGCAAGGCCTCTGATCAGGAGATTGGAGGTTTTGAGGCACGTGGAACTACCTCTTAATTGCTGTTGTTGCCAGGTTAACCCTGACCCTGAGAGGTAGCACCTGTTAAGGTCAACTATTTAACCCACAAACTGGGTTCAAAATACTATGAAAGTATAAAAATAGATTTTTATATTAAAAATACCAGCAATACATTTTTAAATAAATAAGTAAATGAATATTACCAGCAATACATTTTTGAAAAAAAAATGACCAGACTCAACAAAAATCTTCCTTACAAAAACATGTTAACCTGATCTACAAACTGATAGCTTACAAAGAATGCATATTCTATTCATACGAACCTATCCTAAAAATTTTGTCAACATTATATAATCCACTGAGGTTGATATACCATAAAACAAAATTAACCCAACCAAACTTAATCCATAGACAGAGGGGATTCTTTATTTTGTGCATTACACATTAATCTCAGAGATGCCTGTGTATATGCTTTCCTAATGTCTGTGTAAACAAATTTCAGAAAAAAAATCAAAAAGGTTACTAAGAACACTAAATTTCAACTTGTGGACATACATAGGTAGTGCTTTTAATTGCATTCTAAAAATAGAGAAGGGACAAATTAGTAAAGTTTAAAAATGTTTTTTCTTTACTCAAAAGTGTACTAAAAGACATTTCCAATTGTACTTCATGGTTTTTCTATTAGCCTTGTTTAAAGAAAAGTTCAAAGTTCACTGAAAATGAAATTTTCATCTATTTTTTTGATAGTAATTGTCATAACAAAGTTGCACTTAGTCTGAAAATTTCTCAAAAATAAAAAAAAAATTTTTTAATTTTTCTCTATCTACTCTATCACTATTACTATGGCAGATGTTTGGACAAGTTACATTCCTTAGTTTCACTATCTCGGACTTTCACAGCTAGAACCCACCATACCATGTTCATGGTGGTAAACCATCCCCATTCCTTTCGTGTTCCTTTAATAAAAAGCAGATTCCCCTCAGACAGCTTATTCTCTAGAACTGTTACTTTGTCAAACTCCCGAGAGAATGCTTACCTGGCAGCTGCAATAGGGTCATCCAAAATCTATCCTACTCATCCTGATAATATTCTCTTATTTCCTCCTTGCTTACAAGGGGCTCTTCTGTTTTGTATTGGATGAACTAACAGTAAAAAAAACAAGTGAAATTGATCATCCTAGCTTGATCTTTCTCCTATAAAAGAATTTTTGTTTAAATATGAGTCAAAACCAAAATAAGTGAGTAAAAATGAGTGAGCTGTGAATTTCTTGCTTGAATTATTAATAGAATGCAACTACCAAATTCTGTAAATGTTAGTATAGAAGTTGTTCCAAGGCAGAAAATGAAGAGGATTTAAGCTTTATTCCTGTTGGTATATTCCTCTACAAGAAGAGTTGAATACCAATATGTATGAATAGTTGGAGAGATATATAATTGGCTGAAGGAATTTGATCATGCATTCCTTAAAGAAGGTGTTCCAGGGAATGGATGAAATGTTCTGAAATGTCAAAGACTGCAAATAGACCAAGAATTGCCTTTTGATAATACAATAATTTGAACTTTATCAATTTCTACATTTTTGCTTTAACCATTTTGATTATTTTTTGTTGTAGTATCATGCTCTTGGATTGTTGTACCACATTCGTAAAAATGATAAGCTGGCTGTGAATAAACTAGTTAGCAAGTTCAGCAAGCATTCTCTGCGGTCCCCGTATGCCTACTGCTTGTTGGTAAGTATGAAATGGATTCTATTTATAATCTTGATCATTAATCATTACTTTAACAAATCTTCAACCATAGCATCATTATTATTACATTGTGAATTAATCAAATTTATTGTCCTTATATTTTGTTATTTCAATCATGGCATTTTGACCATAGTGGAATTGAATGTGCTAGTGGTATAATAGATAGGGGCTCTAAATGAGAAATTGGTGAGTTCAATTCATTACATTCACTTACATGCAAGGTAAGAATCTCTCTCTATTCCCTCCGGCTATGGATGAAAAAGTAGGACTTGTGTCTGGGAAAATGATTGTTATTCACCAAAAATTGTTAATACACTTGCAAAAAAAAAGAATTACTCTTACAGTCCAAAATATGTTCCATTTTTAAATAACCAACAAAAGCTGAAAAAAAATTCTATCAACAATGGGTTCTCTAGCCTTTTTCACATGTGTGTGTCGCATTCATCTTTTCTTTTTTTTTTTTCCAAGCTCCACTTCCATAGTGGTTAAATAACTAAATAATAATTTGACAGCATAAACATTTTATTTGATTGAATATTTTTTCTTTACTGTTATGTACCATATTTGGCATCACCTCATTGATATTTATTGGAATATTATGAGGTTGTCTAGTTACAAGTACTGGTAAACATTAACCTACTAGATACCTCAATTTTTTCTCTCTCTCTCTCTCTCTATACATATATATATATATATATATATATATAATAAGGGTGCCTGAAAATTCTCAGTTTGACTAAGAAGAAATTTGAAAAACATATATATAATGCGTGATTGTATAGTCAGATTTCCAAAAGTGAGTCTGGTTGAAACTTTTTAGCAAAAAGCCCAAGATGATATTTTCAATGTCTGGTGGTGGTTTGGTCTTGTATATCACCTAATATGTTAAGTACCTTACAGTGGAATTTGGTAGTGTCCTCTGTCTAGATGACTATTGACATGTCTTCTCAGGAAATTACAATATAGGAGCATTTTAAAAAAAAATATGAAAAATAAAATTCATCACAATGAAAGACAACATTAAAAAATGTGTTGATAGCTCTCTAGACGTACAACTAATTTATTTCACTGTGGAGTACATACACAAAAGAAGAAAATATTTTACTGTGTCAGCTAAATTATATTTTTTTTGTCCAGTGATTGAATAGAGATTGATGTGAAGGATTAAAATTACTGTAAGCAAGAGTCCCCAGAAAATGCACAAAGGGACCACAATGAAAAAACTTCAATTCCATTCAGGGTTTATGGCCATATCACGTTGAAACACCAGTTTCCATATGATAACTGAAGTTAAGCAATGCCAAGCGTGGTTTGTACCTAGATGGTTGACCGCTTGGGAATATCACATGCTGTAGGTGTGGATGTGCAGGTGGTGTAACAGATAATGGCTCAGAATTGTTAATTGATGAGCTGAGTTCCAATTCCTGTTGGGTTTGTTATATTCACTTATGGACAAATACCCTTGGGAAAGGTATGAATCCACTTCTTCTCCCTCCAGCTATGGGTTAATTAGTAAGATTTGTATCACTAAATCATTATCTCAAAAAATAAAATTCTCACAACAGTATATGGGTGCACCCCCAAAATTCTAGATGATCAGAGGTTGGCAGCTGATCTCTCTTCTGACCTAGCTTTAACAGTGGGTGGGGGTCTGTTCACCTTCAGTACCTTGAAAGCCAAACTAGTGATGTTCCATCATCACTGAATGGACCCTATATTTCACCTATCACAATGAATAGGTATTCTTTCAGGTAGGCCCTTTTCTTTGAACACCTATTTGGTATTAAAACTCAACCCAAACCTCAAGTGGAAGTTATATATATGATCTATTGCTAAAGATACTGGAAAACTGGTCAGTTTCCTGTACCACTGCAGCAAGTATCTGACTCTTCCTGCTTTGCTCTGCCCTTTACAAGAAAATGGAATACTGCTGCCATGTATGGGCAGGAGCTGCCCAGTCTCCACTTTGCATCCTTGTGGATTATTTTCCACCCTTCAACCTATTTCCCACAGATGAAATGTCACAAGCCTCTCACTATTTCCATAGAAAGTGTTCAAATGAACTACATTTCTTAGTTCCACCAATTTTAACCGTAAGAGATAAGACCCACCCTGCCATGCACATTGTAGCAAACCACCCTCATCCCCTTTGTATTTCTATTGGTGAGATGTAACTTCCACTCATCCAACTTCTTCCCACGAACTACTGCCTTATGGAACTGACTCTCAAGGGTTAACTGTTATCTTCCTCAAGATATCCTCTGTGCCTCTTACTTTTCATTGTCTCTACCTCAAATGGCTCTTGGGCCTTGTACAGGATGAACATCATTTAAAATTTTTTTTTTTTTTTTAATTTGTTATATGGTCAAACTTCAATAAATCATGTTCAACATTTGTATCTATTCTGGATGAAGGCTTCTATCAAAGTTGTAGATTATCAAACCAAGAAAAAACATTCTAATTAATATCTAAGAAGTAAGTCTAAAATAACCAACCAAATTAGATTAGTTTGTCAAATCCTATTGAAGATCTATTTCATTATCCTGTTTATTTTTAATTAGTGATGGTTATAGTTTTAAATTTTGAATTAAAGCAAATTTTTACATGTTCAAGCATTCTAGTGACTTGAAACATTTTCTTTTTAGATTCGTATTGCCAGCAAATTAATTGAAGAGGAAGACTGTGGGTAAGTACTGTTATTTGTATGATAGTGTTACTTTTTCAATTTTAATATTCTTGTGTGTCCATCTGCAAACTGTTCTAATCAGAATGGCCAGTTACTACTTCTACTTCATTTTCATGGTGATATGATCACTAATTATTTTCTTAAATCCTATCTGTAAATGAGCAACTATATTTTATCCAATAAAGTGCTAAATGGTAATGATCCAATTGTTACTTGGTAACCTAACACCTCTGTGCAGTATGAGGTGACAAGAAATGATATATGTAATTGTTACCAGAGAAAGCCTCTCAAAACACAGTAATCTCATTTTCTTATTTCATTGGTAATTTTCTAGAGCAGCAATGTTTTGGGTTTTTTTTGTTTTTTTTAATAACCTTTTTGGATTTCTAATGCCAGATTGGAAAAATTACACACAGAATTGATTCAATATTCTATTTTCAGTGTTTATTGAAGCCCATTACCATAATTTAATCTGTGATGGGTGGAAACTTTGAATTCAAACTCATAGATTTTATGGAATTAAAAAAAATAACTTTCATTTTTTGAAATGTTTATTATATCCCTTAACTTTTTGTTGTAACTGACATCAGTTTTCATTCTTTAAAATTCTAGTAACTGTGATTAAACTTTAAGACTCTTTGCAACAAATGATCATCCATGAACTCTTGGTTCTGTTATTTGAAATTAGGGATTTTTTTCTTTCAGAGCATTATGCAGACAAGTACAACTGATTACATGTAAATTTTGATTCTATCCAATAAAATGTATTACTTAATTTATAGATTAAAGAAACTCTCAATTTAATGCAGATTTCTTTAGGATATTTAAAAAAAAAAATTTAACACTTTTCTTTGATATGTTTATTTATTAGAATGTTAATGTTTGCAAAAACCATTGTCTAAATGATATTCAATTATACTGATTCATGTAATTTGCATTGTCAATTTGGCACACTTATCTCCAGTTATTTTTAAAAATTGTCCAACATTTTATTTTGTAGACAAAATGATTGCTTATGTTTTATATAGATAAATCATAAAGAATGCATACATCTGGTAACCATGTCATCCTTACTACATATTTGAAAATTTAATCATCCATTCATAGTTATGATTTCATGACCTGTAAAAAAAATTTTTTTTTTTTTCCTAAGGAGGATGGTATTTCTTTTCAGGGCATCTTTTATGTCAATAGAGATAAGCTTCTACTCAAATATGAGTATCCATCAAAGATAACGTTTAAACAAAATAAATTAAAAATAACAATATGTCAGACTTGATCCATTTCCTAAAAGTAAAAAATATTATTTACACTTGTTTGAGTAAAGTATTTTTTTTTTTTTAATTGCAGTTCCGACAGTCAAATGTTTGAATTCATTGACAATTGTCTTCGTCATAAAAGTGAAATGGTAATTTATGAGGCAGCCCATGCAATTGTCAACATGAAGAGCACAACTCCAAAGGAACTGGCACCAGCTGTGTCAGTCTTGCAGCTTTTCTGCAGTTCACCAAAACCAACTTTACGTTTTGCTGCTGTCCGCACATTGAACAAGGCAAGTCTTCTACTTAAACATCTTTTTCTCTTCATAATCTATAAGAATACTCACACATAGTACCTAGTAAAGAAAAAAAAAAGTTTATTATATGGCCCAGAACTTTTTCTTAGGATGGAATAGTCTAGTAGTTGGGCATTCTTTCTAACTTAGCATTTACAAATTGATTTTGTCATGCTGTCCAAGCAACAGAACATTGGCATAATGGATTTTATTTACCTGCTTATATCCAGGTCAGATGTTCAAATCAAGGCTATTATTATTATTATTATATTAAGTATTATTGGTCCTGATCTGGCAGTTTGGCTTCAGTTACTTTCCCACCACCATAAGGTTGCCTCTCTGTCTTTTCTATAAATACTTTCATGGTAATTGTTCAAATGAGCTCTTCACTATAGTACCTAGCATTTTTTAATTTAAGCACAGCACTAGACTAATGTTGAGATCTCCTCACTTTACAGTTAAGCTGGCTAGATGTAATTGTATGTCCTAAGCTAACTGTTTTTCTCACAGTTCTCACTTGTGGAAACTCCATTCCAGTTCCATGTTTTCCGGCCAACTTTAATATGCAAAAATTTAACTGCAATGTCACTCACTATCATCTGATTACTCTCTTCTCATGAATGTTTTTGTTCCTAATTCTTCCACATCCTGTAATCCCTTATGTTTTAGTGGTATTACTACTGCTTTGCCTGAAGTGATTCCAATTAAAAAAAAAAAAAAAGGCAGGATTCATTTGTTAATATCTGTTTACTTTAATGTAACAAGATATGGAGAAAGAGAGGGAAAAAAAAAGAAGAAACCTACAGAAAATGTAACACTGTGGTTAGATATGATTCTGAATTTTTTTTTTAGTTCATCTTGTCTTTGGGTCTGACACTGTGTTTTAAAAATGTGCTTTTATAATGTTTCAATCCTCTCAGCTAGACACTAAGCAAATTTTTCAATTGATTCACATTCATTAAATGTATGTTAAGCTTTTAACACAAGTGTGTTTATTTGGAAAGCAAACTCATTCTACTCTCATCATTGTCTCTGAAACTTTAAAGCTCAATCTCCCAATCGAAAATGTTTTTCATTACATTTTTTTTATTTATCCAATGATGTAATTTTTCTCTTTACACTCGTGTACTTCAGCACCTGTTTGGATAAAAATGATCTACACTAAATAATACTACAGCGATAACAATATTACAGGCAATGACTTTATAGTAATACTATCTTCACTTCTCCTTTTGTATTTCAGTTGAAAATTGTTTTATTACTAAGAAAGACCTCATTCCTCTTTGGGATCTATACTCCTTTTATGTAGTTGCTGTGATCTCTCTATAAAGTGATTTATTGCAACAAGTTGCTCATATGGATTATCTGATCAATCCAAAAGAAATGAATTTGACAAACGAGCAAAAATTAACTTATGCCTATATAAGTGTCAAATTCTGCCTGTCTGTCCATGTGTCTGAAATATGTCTAACCATGGCCACACTTGTTCTACATAGACATATTATACCTTTTTGGAATCAGGATGATCCCAGGATTGAAAATGGCCCTTCATCTGGTGCTTGAAAATCCAACATTTGGATTTGTGTTGGGATAAGGAGGAAACAGTTAAAAATACAAATTTTAAAATAGAGGAAAAAAATTAATGATTTTTAAGTTTTTAATTTATATTGAGTTTAAAGTAACACACAAACTTTGTGAATTAAAAAAAAATTGTTTTAGGTTCAGTTTAAAATATCTCCAAAACTTTGACTTGAGGAAACCAGTTTTATTTCTTCAAAATGCCAAGGAATCTGAGTTAAAGTGAGAGGTTTTGTGACGTATGGTTTTGAAGTTCCATAGACTTTGTGACTTGAAGAACTCGATTTTCTGCCCAAATCAGTCTTTTGGACATAATTGTACTTATAGCCCGAATCAGAGTTAAAGTGAGGTTTTGAAGTTCCATGGGAATTGAGAAATTCAAAGTTGTTTCTTCAAAATTATCATTGCTCTTTTCTAAGCTAGACCAGAGGTCTCTTTAGTTTTGGGTTGGAGGTACAATTAACCCTCCACAGGAGCTAGCTTAAAAGTCCACACTGAGTATGGCTTTTAAGCTAGTTTAATATAAACTGAATGAAATAAGATTCTGTTTAAATTCCATTGGAGGTTACTTGATAAAGACTGGAGAATGCACTGCCTCACTCCAAATGAAATGCTACCCCCCACCCCAAATATTCATACCTTATCCTAAGATTGATACATGTATGGAAAATGAGATTATAAAGTGGCTCCTAGAGAAAGTCATGTGTATAGTAATTTATAATAAAGGCGCTCTGCCGTATCCTCCTTCTCCACCCAGTTCTCTTACTGACCTGTGATAAATTCATAAGTGCCAGCAAGTAGGCTGATTTACAGAAGAACAAGATTTGAACTTCTCCAAATGTTTTTGTAGAGTCTGATACAAAATGTTTGCAGTGGCTTTGGATTATGCATTGTCATTAAAAGCTAAAATAAATATTTTCACCCTAATCAATCACACTGAAGATTGGTATATAGTAAAACTGAAAAGGGAGAAAAACAAACATACAATACAAATGTACGCATAAAGAAGGCATGTAACAAGTATGTGCATGAGGCAATGTAATATATGCATACACAAGGCAACAATACAAATATTTCTTAGGCTCTGAAGCTACAGACTTAAATATCTATAGATTATGTATCATGTAAAAAAAATGTATTTCACTAACTGCTGAGTATACACAATGCTGTGTTAAAAAACAAAAGAAGAAACCTTCTTTTTTTCATGAAAGACACAAAGAATTTGTGAGAAATTAAGAGGAAAGTAGGTAACAATTCAAAGTTCATTTTGCCTGCAAGTCACTCTGAGGGAAATAAAATCCCTGTAACATTTCTTTATGGCTCTACATATTTGCAAGACTAACAGTCAATAGATTTATGACTTTACTAATAGAATTATTCTCAAATGTTATAATTAATGGCACAGATCAAAACTATTTCTAAGCATTTTAGTCCTCTTTAATTCGTGTTTTAGAGTTCATCATTTGTTTGAACCAATTCTGCTTGTCTTCTCATTTAGAATTTTGGAAAGTCTTTTTTTTCTTTCTTTTTTAATTTTGTATTTCTTTATAACAAAGTCGTGTTTTTGTTTGTCATTTTTCTTGCACTCTTTCTATTTGCAGGTTGCTATGAAGCACCCAGCTGCAGTTACTGCTTGTAACTTGGATCTTGAGAATCTTATCACTGATCTCAATCGCAGCATTGCTACATTAGCCATCACAACTCTCCTTAAGGTCAGTTCGACAATCATTTCCCTTAAATTATCATCTCTTTCTTAGCATATATATATATATATATGGTGTATCAAAAATACTTCTACAAACTTGGGAGGGGGGGTCTCGCTCACACCAAAACAAGAACAAAAGTTCATATAAACGTATGTTTGCAAATCCTTTGTTTTTGAGTTATTAAGCTTAAAGTTTACAGTAGATGGATTTTTACATACGGCTACTTGAATGGTAAAGGCTGCAAGGCTCTATCAGTTTGCATTTCCAGCCTGAAGTCAGCCGAGTCATCCAATCTTTGCTGCTGTTTATTGCCGTGTTGCTGATCTGTGGCACCACAAACTATGGATCAAGGTAGACTGAGATCTGCTTGTATGCCTGACCCCAAAGAACATATTCTACACGCTGTCAGAGATGATCCAGGTATCACCACACGTCAAGTGGCTCTAGCATGTAGTACATCTCATAGTACTGCATGGAAGGTACTTCAAGAGCATCTCCTGTATCCATGTCATTTGCAATGTGTGCAGGGTCTTTTGCCCTATGATCACTCACCACGGGAGAACTTTTGCCAATGGTTTCTTGCACTGCCAATCTGTTACTTGTCTCTTCAGTCTTGTTTCTGAATGAGGCAACATTTGGAAGAGATGGAATAACAAATTTACACAACCAACATTTGTGGTTGGATCAGTATCCCTATTGTACAATACAGGCTAGACACCAGCATCAATTTATGATTAATGTGTGGGCTGGAATTGTAAGTGACTATCTGGTAAGTCCATATGTTTTCACTGCACATCTTACAGGAGCTGTCTACAGGGACTTTATTTCGAACACGCTTCCAGACCTGCTAGAGGATGTACCCCTTCTAATATGATGCACTGGTTGACATCTACCATGAAAGATGGATAGGTTGGGAGGACCGATTCCATAGCCTGCACATTTCACCAACCTCAACCTTTGTATTTTTATCTGTGGGGCCACCTAAAACAATTGGTTTATGCAGAGACGTTTCATCAATGTGTCATGAAGGTCTGTGAAACCGTTTGACACTGTAGGAGTGTGTGTGTGTGTGTGTGTGTGTGTGTGTGTGTGTAGAAGCAAGTGGAGGACATTTTGAACATTTGTTATGAGTTGCTGTGTTGAGGTACAACGATGGCCTTCTGGATATATGTTTATATAGACATCTTACCTTGTTTTGGTGTCAGGAACCCACCCCCAAACTTTGTAAAAGTAATTTTCATACACTAATATATATATATATATATATATATATATATATATATATATATATATATATATATATATATATATATATATATAATCAGTTTATTATGTAAATCAAATCAATTATGATTTACATAATAAACTGATTAAATATGTGTGTGTCAGACATTGATGAAAGAACATAATTTTCTAAATATGCAAAAGAAATCTTCCAGGAAAATGCAAAAAATATTTTTAGATTAATTCTAAATTGCAAGTTGGCTTCTCAGTTGTTATATGTAATGTTTTTTTTTTTTTTTTTTTTTTGGAGTGGGGGTGATATTCTTCATTTCATATGTGGTTGTTATCTCTTTAGGTTTGCATAATTTTTTTTTTTTTTGTGCATATATTCACTTTCTCTTTGTTTTTGTTCTGTTTTGAGAGAAGAAAAATTTTAGTTGAGCCAAATAATATTTACTATTTATTTGAATTTTCTGCAAGTGTTTCTTTCTAAAGGGACTTAGTGTTAAGATTTACTTGAATGACACAAGACCATGTCTTTGGGTGCATGAAGTAAAGCTCTCTTATCCCTGTCTTGTAGTATCCATCACACTAGAATGAATTAATGTCCACTGTTGATCACATAAAATTGTATTTTGAAGAATTTGAATTTATGAAAAATGTAATCAGTGATAGTTGATACTGTTTAGAATTTCTAATAAACATTTTTGTCGACCAATGAATTCATTTAAACCCTTTTGTGAGCAGATTGAGAGTTCTAATTTTTCTTTTTTTTCCACACTATTTTCCAATTTTTCTTTGGATGATTGAACTCGTTCTTTTGGTTGCCTCTTTTTATAACAATGTTTCTTTGTGGGTGGGGGTAGAGAATAGAGCAACCCTCTGTGTATAAATTAGAACCGCCTGTTGCTAAGAGTGGTAGTGTCTGTGTGGTTCTCATTATTGGAAATGAATCAAACCAGTCGGTATACAAGGTCTGATGAAAAGTAAGAAAAGCTATGGTAATAGCTAAAATACACAGAGTAAAGCCACTTGCTACAGACTGACTTTGAACTTAGTTGCACATACACACTAAGTTATTCGTGCTCACTTCCTTTTTTTTATAGCAGTGCTTGGAAGGAAAGTGTGTAATCGTCATCTCGCCACACCACAGAGGTTCCATCAATGACCATGGCTTATGCCGCAGTTTTTGGTCAAGTACAACATTCACCAGGTCTGACAACCACCATATTCCCCAGATCCCCACACCTTGCAACATTTTCCTCTTCAAAAATCAAATCCCACTTGATGGGATTAAGATTTCAAGACATCTAGGAAATCCAAGAGAATGTGACAAGGCAGCATACAACAAAAGGAGTTCTAGGAATGCTTCCGTCAATGGATATAGTATGTGGCTTCAGAAGGGGACCACTTCAAAGGAGAATAAATGCTGAAGTGATATGTGTTGTAGTTTTATTATAGCATCAGTCCTGATACTTTTTGATCAGACTTCATATTAACTATCATTTTCTGTTTGCCACCTATTTCTGTTTTTTTTTTTTTTTTTTTTTTTTTTTTTTTTTTTTTTTTTCTTGTCAATTATACACTTATATACGAATCTATCTGTTATATTTCATGTTAATAGGAATATATACTTGACAAATATGCTGGATAGAATAAGTAAAAGAATATTGTAAAAACCAAAACAATGAGAATAAAGATAACAGTTATGCACAAGGTCATCGCAAGTCAATCCAGTAGTGAGTGCTACTATTGGAAGATCGTTAATTCTCGCGTAAGTCTGAGTTGTACTAAACAGATCCCAGGTAGACTCTGTAGTCTGTTGACTTACAGATACTTATAGGTACTTAATAACCATGGGGGTGACGGGTTATTCCATTACATCACTATCATTTATACATTTGTAGAAGACTCTAGAGTCAATCAAGCAAAACGTTATCTTAATAACAGTAGCAAAAAGAACATTTTCAATCAGCTCTTCTCAAAATTATTGACACTATCTTTACACAGTGTGTATTTAATCTGACTTATTAACCGTTTTCAATATTTAATTTCTAAGTTTTTACTAAAAATCAATATTCAGTTCAACACTGTTAATTGACTCTTTGTAGATAACACAACCATTTACTATACTTCTTCTTACATATATGTCCTTTACAACTTTCATTATGACATATTACAAGACAAGCAGTTGAACACTTCAAACAAATCTTGTTATGAAATAAAATTCATTGTTTTTTACCCAGGTTTCCTCATTTTCAATTTTCTTACCTATATATTCCTGACTGAATTTGATCTTCAAATAATTTTTAATTTCTACACTCAAATCTACAAATAAAAATAAAGCAAAACCAATTGTTTGACTGACTTGTTTTTCTCTTTGCAGACCGGCAGTGAAAGCAGTGTGGATAGATTGATGAAACAAATTTCAAATTTTATGAATGAAATTTCCGATGAGTTTAAGATTGTTGTGGTTCAGGCCATCAGGTAGAATGTTTCTTCAACTTCTCATTTTTTTTTCCCCCCACCTCACTGAACATTTCTTCAATTGCTATTCCAGATTGTCTATCATGTTGTTTCTATAATCCCAGACTTTTTCAAATGTCTCCTCTTGCGTGTTTATCTTTAAATCGCCAATGTTTTATTTGTCATGACAATTTGCAATGAAAAAAAATTCAATAAACAAATAAATTCATTATAGTTGTCAGCATATAAAGAATTGAGTATTTAATAGAATTGTTTTAATTTGTTTTTAATTTTGAGATTTAATTTAATCTTTACTTTTACTTCCAGGTCTCTTTGCCTCAAATTCCCTCGCAAGCACAATGTTGTGATGAATTTCTTGTCTTCTATGTTGAGAGATGAAGTAAGTTCCAATTCTGCAATTAGGCATTACCAGCCAAAATGTTTGAAATAGTTTTCTACCATAACTTTACAGAGACATTAAAATATGTAGCTTTTTTTTCTTTGTTTTTTTAAGTTAACTTTTGAAATGTGAGTTGCAATTAGAAATCTTTAATCTGCCATTAAGTGACTCTGGCAAAAGATGAATTCATTGTAAACAAAGGCAATTTCTGCATCAAATGATTCAATTAATGACTTTTTAAATTTGTTCCATGGTTAGATTGATGGATAGGTTTGAAATAAATCTAATGTTCCAAAATACCTAATTAATGCCAAATGTGTTATCATTCTACACACATGTGATAATTGTATTTTAATTGTTTCTTGTCTCATATTTCTGAAATATAACTCAAATAGACACTATTCCTCAGCATAATGAGTGGAAGTTATTAGATTTAATAATTGATATGTGGGACCTTTCTTCAAATTTGAATAGGCTTACATGCAAATGCACTTGGGAACGGTATGAATCTATTTCCTCCTTCCAAACATGAGTTAAACAGCAGAACTTGTATCAAGAAAAAAAATCATTGTTATTCTCCAAAAATTGCTACCATAATATTCACTCACAAATAATATATGTTATTACAATCTAAAATGTGTTTACACTTTAAATAACCCCATAGTTGATAAGCCATAAAAAAATAAATTGATCAATCATGTCTCTCAGTGTACTGGGCATTGAAATGCAGTAATATACGTTTTTTTTTTTTGTTTTTTATTATTATTATTATTATTATTAATACTTACTGTTTGGGTTAGAGTTAAATCCAATATATTTTTATATGAATATATCTGAAGGTAATTGCAATATTATAAAGTGAGAGAGTCTTTCAAGAAATTAATTTACAAAAACAATCAATGGTATTAGTGTTACACACTGATTTATTCAGACTAATCTCCTCACTTTTGTTTTTGTCATAAAATTACATCTATTTCTGATTTTGTTATTAATATTATACACTGATTTATTTGAACTGATGTCTTCATAGGAAGAATAGAAATAAGCAGAAGGCAAGAAGTTGGAATAGCTGAACATTTTGACTATAACACTAGTTCAGATAAATTGGTGTCTAATAATAATAACAATAATATCTCATTTCAGAAATAATTGAAATGTTGTCTGTAACAATCAAGATGAGGATATAATTAGAATAATTTTGTGTATAATTCCTCGTGTTAGAAATTTAGACAAATTGTGGGATTGTATCCATCATATTCTTGGTAGGTTTTGTAATGTCTTCATTCTTTATTACAATTTTTTACTAAAATCTTCCTGCACTGTAGAAATTTATTTATCAAAAATTTCTGTATTTTGATTAATTATCCTTTCTATTTCAGGGTGGCTTTGAATACAAGAGAGCCATTGTGAACAACATTATTGTCATTATTGATGAAAACCCTGAAGCCAAAGAAGCAGGTAAAGCCATTTTTAAGATTGTAATTTAATTTGAATAAAATTAAAAAAAATTCAACATCATTTACTCACTTTCATTTAGTAGACATTAAATTACCTTACTTAGAAACCCCCCATAATTTATCTAGACTTTTCTGTTAACCTGATGAATATTTGAGTGTTTCTAAAAATTTGAAAAACTAACATTTTTTTTTTCTGTTTATAAATACTTGTTGCAAAATAAAATCCTTACATTTGCCTTGATAAAGTCCTTCAGAGGACAAAACACATCAACTAAGTTTTTCTTTTGTCTTTATTCATATTGTCCTTTTACAGATATATATTTTAGTTGTATCTGATATTTTACACACATATGTGTGTGTGTTTATATACACACACCATATATACTTGTGTAATGTGTGACCTCGCCAAATTTCCATTTATAAAAAACGATTTTATCACGTACCTTGTGTATCATGCAAGTTCCTTTTTTGAGAGATCAAATTACATAGGACTAACCTCTTTTCTTCTATCTCTTTATCCCATCTTCTAGTTAAATACATAACTGTTGAGATGTTGTGAGTTTCCCGCGTGTCGGTGTATGAATCAAGACAAACACAGTTGTAGAGGAAAATACTGGTATATTCATAAAAGCAATTAACAATAGAGTGATTAGTAGAACGAAGGTTGGTTAGTACGAAACAATATCCAAAGTCTATAGTCCAACGGTATGTACCGGGTAAGCTTATCTGGACTGCTCATGCTGACTCTCTCTCTGACGCTCTGTCACTCTCTCTCCAGAGCTGACTTATATAAGAGGGACCAGTCCATTACTAGTTAGAAGGTGGGTGCGCCCCAACAATAACAGAGAATGATAAAAATATTGTTAGTAGCACTATGCTTGTTGTGTAAACACGTACAGCTATAAACAACCGAACAAGAAATAACTAACACCTCTTAATAAGTGTAAACAATGGAAAAGATGCATAGTCATTGTGTGTGTCTTTAATAATATGATACTATGTGAATATTACATGCATTATTATTGGATACATCAGTTTTATCAAAATCATGGTTACTTTAAATACAGCTGCACTTTTTGGCTACAGTAAATGGATATATAGTTTAGTCAGGGCCTGAAGTAAATACACTTAATTTTATATCTCATATATGATGCAACCCCCCTTAAAATTAAGTTCAAAATTAGGATATGAGATATATATATATATATATATATATATATATATATAAAATGGTAAAATTAATCAATATCTTAACCTGTTTGGATATATTTTTCCCTGTTTTGATTAACTTTCATGATTATTTTCTTTCACTTGTACAGGTCTTGCTCATCTGTGTGAGTTCATTGAAGATTGTGAACACACAGTTTTGGCCACTCGTATCCTCCATCTACTTGGACGTGAAGGTCCTCGGACTCCAACACCTTCCAAATATATCCGTTTCATTTATAACCGAGTCATTTTGGAGAATGCTGCAGTACGAGCTGGTAACTTTTTTATCACATTTCATTTTAAATATTTTTTTTTTTTTTTTTTTTTTGAAAGAACTGCACACATACTGTAATCATTATGTGGAACTCTGTCAATGAGTTACCTGTTGTTAAAATAAATTCTTTACTGCATCCTATAAGTGTCTAGTATGTCACTACAGGTTTGTCCTTGTTTTAATGTTGAGAGTTTTATTATTCATACAACTTGGGGTATTATTTTTCTTTACTCCCCCCACACACGCACACACTCCAAAAAGAACTTACAAAAGGGAGATATAAAAGCCACTATTAGACTATTCAGTAGAAAAAAACATTTTGATTGTTGAGTTAGAAATCCTTTATTTTATTTTATTCAGGTGACAATGTCCATTCAGCTTCAAATATAAATTTTAATGCCATCTTTAGTATTTTTCAAAAATTTCCAAACTTCCTTTATATATAATAATGGACTCTCCTATCAGTTTCAACATATGAGGATCTGACAACTTAACCAATTGATTCAGTTATGAATTTTGTGTGATAATCTTAAGTGGCAAATAAGACCCGCTAGTGATTTACAAAAGAGACTGCATATGGAGCAAGAGTGAAGATTGTGAGATAAGGTCTCTATTAGATTGGCTGACCTTTTAGATCTTTCTCTCACTTCTTGAAGGCTATTCAGATTAGCAGTCCACTAAACACAATCTCCACTCTACCCGCCCCAAGGCTAAGCACTTGATGATGTTATGAGATATATTGACAGCTGACAAGCTGCTCTTCAGCTTGTCTTTGTATCTAAGCCATGGATGTCCTATATTCATGTAGCCCTGATCTAACTGGCTGCTCATTAGGATCTTGGATATCCCATCATCAGACATTCTCAAGACATGACCAGTCCACCACAACTGAGACTATGAGAAAAGTCTTGATTTCTCCAATATTACACCTGTTAAACAATTGAATGTCCTGTCTTTAAGGCTAACTCCACAGATGGCATGCAGACAGCTCTTATATATATATATATTTATTAAAGACATATTTTTATGTTTAACGTTGTTATTTTATAGATACAAGTATTTAAGCAAATGCTCTGTTTATGATAAACAGTATTAAATAACATTTACCGGCCTGAATGTCCGAGAAATTTTCATAGAAAATTTTCGTTCTTTGACAGGATTGAACCTGTATCCTATCGGAAATATAGACGTGCCTTTACCGTTTGAGCTACAAAGAACCAATTGACTATAAAATAAACTCCAACTTTTAAACATATAAAAAATATGTCTTTAATAAATAAATTATTAAAGCAAAAATTTGGACCTAAATGTCCATTTCTTAATATATGACGCCATTTGTTTACATTCGATAAATAACAAACGTTAAAAAAAAAAGCATTTTAAGCAAATGTACGAGATTTCATGGAAAGTTGGAGTTTATAAGCAGAAAATTGACCTTGTTCACCGATTGGTTCTTTGTAGCTCAAACGGTAAAGGCACGTCAGCGTATATGACGGTTCCATCATAGGATACAGGTTCGAATTTGTCAAAGAACGAAAAATTTTCTATGAAAATTTTCGGACATTCAGGCCGGTAAATGTTATTTAATACTGTTTATCATAAACAGAGCATTTGCTTAAATACTTGTATCTATAAAATAACAACGTTAAACATAAAAATATGTCTTTAATAAATAAATTGTCGGACCTTGTCCATTTCTTATATATATATATATATATATATATATATATATCTGTTTAGGGTAATACAGCTATTATTATTGCTTTTATTTACATTTGACTTACCAAAATAACATTAACTTTGAAGTCAGTTGGGAGGAAAAGTTTGTAACCCCAAATGATTTTCTTTGAATACTACAGCTGAGCAAGGGAAGGGAACAAATGTTTTTGTAATGATTTTGATCTTAATAATATAGAGATGACTTGTTTGGTGTTCCATTTCAGCTGCAGTCACTGCCCTGGCCAAATTTGGTGCTCAGTGTGAAGATCTTCTTCCTAGTTGTGTTGTACTTTTAGAGAGGTAAGAGTCACATGGTCCTTCAGATTGTAGATCTACAAAGCTATAATCAATACAGAACTCAAAACTGTCTATAATATACAATATCTGATTTGCATTCTCTATATCTGCTAAAACAGATTTTACATGTTTATTCAAAATTAAAATCAACCAAATCTCTCGAAATCCATCTTCTAATAAGGAAGAGCTAGAGAGCTGATATTCTCATACATGAATTTTTAACTTTAATAATTGTCAGCGTTAATGAATCGTATTCAATCTGATTCATTAATACTGACAATTACAAAAGGAGCATCACCCATATCAATGATAAAAAATATTGTAGACTTAACAAATCCAGTAACAAAGAGAAAGGTAATAATCCAAACTAATAAGCTTCCTAAATCTCATTTGCTAAAATTAAAATATAAAATTTTCAGCTCTCTCCCTGTTGTCTATGGTCTTTTAACCAATTTTACAAACCTCTTTCTTGAAATACAGATGTCAGCTTGATACTGATGATGAAGTCAGGGACCGTGCAACATTTTATGTAAATGTCCTTAAACAATACCAAAAGGCTTTGAATTCTGCTTATATTCTCAATGGTGAGTACAAAGAAAGATACTTCTTTTCCACCTCCAATTTGGCAATTGGTCTTATTGAAAATTGATACAATACTGTATTTTCATACATGCATTGGTAAATAGACATTATCTATGCACAATGGATTTTTTTTAAAATAATGTATTAAAGAGAAATAGATTTGAGCTAAATAATTATTATTATTAGATAAGCTGTACGTTTATATGTTGAATGAATTTTAATCATTTCATCCTACACTAAAGTCTGAAATAAAAGTGTAGTTTGAAAAATTTATTCAAAATTAATTTGTTTTTCAAACATAAGGAGAGAAGGTGAGGATAATTGAACAGGTAAGGAAAAAAAATGGAAAATAAAATCTTTAAGTAGTCTAGAATAACAATGGGTAGGTTGGTAGGGAAGAATCAAAATAAAAAAAAATGACCTGATCAGACACTTTTTATTCTGGACACAAAAGTACAGCTTCAATAAGAGACAATCCCAAAGGCAGTGTATAAAAAAACAAAATGGCCAAATTAAGAAGGGACTGCATTGATCTTGAAACCTATAAATAAGTCGAAGAGTATGTAGTTATTCTTTATTACTAATTTGAGAAACATCATTATATTTCCAAAATTTGTTCACACTATTAATCTTGTTTATGTTGCTATGACATTTCGCCTGATCCATTCTAAAACCTTCTTCAGATTTTCTACATCTGATAAATTCTATTATTTCGTGTAGTCATTATCATTGTTAGAGTTTCTACAATTTATTCCTCTTGTTGCTACTACAGTATTTCAACCAATCTATAAATAGAGATGGATGTCTGTATTTTAATGGAATTTCTCCACTTTTTTCTCTCCATTCAAAAATGAATAAACACTTCTTTGAAGGAAAAAAAACCCAATAAGAATTGAAAAATGTAAAATAAAATCAAGGACGGTTAGCAATTGTTGCGAATTACTATAGTAACTCTTATGTTCTACATTATTTCATATAGTAATGGCACTTTGAATTATTCAGTGCAGCCTGACTAACTTATATATACTTTGCTACTTTCTCATGTAAAGTGATGTGAGGATGGTGTAATGGATAGCGGCCTGAAATGGGAAATTGGAGAACCCAGTTCAAATTTCGGTCATGTTCATTACATTCACTTACATGCAAATGTTCTTGAGAAAGATATGAATCCATCTTCTCCAGGCTACATAGATTGCTCTGATGTGTATTGCCATATTCTTTATGAATGAAACCCAAGAAATACATTTGGCTTCTACTATAATTACTCAACAATTTCTAACATCCCAGATTTAATTCATGACATGGGTATTGTGTATAAGTGTACAGAAAAATGGTTTGTGTTTTGACAAGGCTTTTGCTGGTAAAATTTGATGAAACCCTATCAACTTCTCAGAAATTAAAATGTTCCAGATTATTTTTTGATGTTTGATATACTTGCACTGTCTTTGAAATATATTTTATGTTATTTTTGTTCAGGCTTACAAGTCTCAGTGGTTGGACTAGAAAGAGCTCTGCATCAATATATTAACAATGACTCTTTAGAAACTGCATTTGACATGAAGACTGTGCCTCTGGAGACTCAACCTCTTGTAGAACAAAGAACCGGTAAATATTTTACTTTAATACTTTCTCTCATTTCTCCAGAACTGAGACTTTAAATAAAAAATTTTGTCAATCAACAAATGATTATCACAACTTGATATATTCTTCATTAGACAAACTTGAATTTTTTTTTTTTAATATAAATCTAAACTGAATTGCCAAAATATGATATAAGAATGTTTTAATTTGCTTACTGTCTTATTCAGTAATGGAACCAGGTGAGACTATTAGCCAGAAACCTGCTGACAAGGTGGCTTCATCAAGGCAAGATATCTTTGCTGGTAAGTTACTTTATTTCATACCTTCAGACATTAAATCAATTGATGTCTTTCATAGCAATTTTTTTAATATAAGCTTGCTTTTAAAAGCCCCTAAATTGTATATGATAAATTTTCAAATTCACGAATTACTCAGAATAAATTTATCCAGCTGTTAGGTTTGTTTTAAGAAAATTTTTAAATTCAATATCTTCCATTCTAAAAATAAGCATTTTATTTTTAAGTGCCATGTCCCTTCAGGATGTAGGCAATCATGACTCTCAACAGATTTCTTTTCTTTATAATCTAAATTGCCATGTATTCTTAGGAAAGATAGCGGTGTAGCTTCTTGTTTCCTTCTCCACAGTGAAATTCAATTTTTCTTCTCTTAGACTGGGTTACCACTTAAAGTGAGAGCCTAATGTCCTAGTACTTAAACCATAGTTGGGGGTATAAAAGAGAAAGATTCACTTCTTTGCCAATTCCATTTTCCATACTGATATCTGTTACACTAACCACACATCCCAAGCATTTTAAAACAATCTTTTTTTTTCTTTTTTTCTTTTTATTTCATTAATGCTACTTAGAGTTAGTAATTGTAAATTTCAATTACAGAGAATATACAGAAAATCTTGATAGAGGTGTCATTCCGAACATTTTTTTAGTAATTTAAATAATGTTTCTTTCTGACATTTTAGTCCCTCAAGAATGTAGTTATTTTTTTTCTCATTTTACAGAACAACTGGCAGCCATTCCTGAATTTAGTAACCTTGGTCCATTGTTCAAGTCTTCGACAACACCAGTGGAATTGACAGAGCAAGAGACTGAATATGTTGTCCGTTGCATTAAACACACTTTCTCACATTATATCGTATTTCAGGTTGGTAAATCAAATTCAAGAAAACAGATATTTTCAGTTGTAATTCAAACAATTTTAGATGACATGACAAAAAACCTGTTTAAGACTTGCAACAAGTTCACAAAATTTTTTTTTTTTCAATTAACTTTATGCTATTTCATTGCTAATTAAAACCAAAATAAAATTTCAAATAATTTAAATTACTGCAATACATTTTTAGAAAAAAAAAAAAAAACCATGGCATTACCAGTCATATAAAATATTATTATAATTAAAATTTACTGAGACATTAAAGTATATTATCTGCATAATTGAAAATCTGTCTCACACACAATGAAATAATCAATAATGGTAATTGATTTTAGATGGATGAAGGAAGTCCTCTTTTTATTAATTTTATTATTTCGTATGAATGTTTAAGTAATAATTTGACACTGTCAGCCTCAGATTTTGCTGCTCACCAATAACAAGTTTGTTAGCCATTATTAATTCATGCTTGTATGTTTTTTTATATATATATATATATATATATATATATATATATATATATATAATGCATTAAGCATGACAATTATTTAATATATTTTCTGTTTATACATTATTTTTATAGATACAATTTAGGTAAATGCTCTGTTTTTAATTAAACAGTATTAATTACATTTACCAGGCTGAATGTTCGAGAAAATTTTGTAGAAAATATGCATTCTCTGACAGGAATCAAACCTGTATTCCTATATGGAAACCATTATTTGATCTGATGTGCTATACCATTTAGCTACAGAGAAGCATCTGGTTAGCAAAGTCCAAATTAATGTTTATAAACATACATTCTTCTACAATTTTTCTCTATTAATCATATCTGCTCATGAAATATATATCTTATCGTAAACAATGACAACATATGATGAAACAGATTAAGTTTGACAATTATTTAATATATTTTCTGTTTATATGGTTATTATATCAAATCCGAACCAAAGTGGAGAAATTAAACTAAAACTTTTTTTTTAATTCTGACTTGAAGACACCTACTTAACACAAGAAGACAAAACATGTCATTAAAAAGCTTTTCCATTTATTTCTACTCACCCACAAGCACACACATATATATTTTAAATCAAATTTTAATTTATATATATATATATATATATATATATATATATATATATAATCTAACTGAATGATATGACAATGTAGATTGTTTAGTCTGTGTTGCTATTGAACCCACTTACATTTTCTCTTTCTACCAGTTTGACTGCATCAATACACTAAATGATCAGATTTTGGAAGCAGTTACAGTTCAAATGGAATCTGTTGATTCCTTTGAAATTCTCAAGACCATTCCATGTCCTTCTTTGCCTTACAACCAACCTGGCACAACATATGCTCTTGTACGCCTCCCAGATGACCAAACTGTTGGTAAGTAATTGAAGTCCAAACTCCTCATCCTCCTCACCACCCTGCTTACCTAGTAAACTGAAATCATTTTTTGTAGTTATAAATCAGGATATTTTTATACACCAAATATCCAACACTGCATTAAGGCAAATTTGAATCTTTGTTCAGTAGCTATTTTGATAAATTTTTAATCACATGCTTAAAAGAAATTGACTGTCATCTTGGCTAGGCAAATGAATAACATTTAAAAGACTTTAAGGTAAATCATTTCTCTAGAATTAATAGACCTTGCCAAATTCAATGATACTCATTTATAGTACAAGATGTTCGATTTTTACCAAAACAATGTTTACATGTTGAAAATGTGTCCAGAAAATAAAATCATGCATAAAAGAAACCTCAATGTGTACAAGGAATCCTTTTATCAGTCTTCTAATTTAAAAGAAAAAATGTTTATTTATCAAAAATAAGACTTGAAATTTTTTGATTGTATAAGTTGGTCATTTTTATTGTATACTCCCTCATTAGTTAAGAGAAACAATTTGCATGAGATCAAAGAAGTATCAAAAACAAAATCACCAGGTATAACTTGCTTTGGCATAGAGTATTTTTTTTTTTTTTTTTTTTTTTTTTTTTATTATCTCTTCCAAAATGGCAGGCAAGCTGAGTGATTGACTTTGCATAATCAAAACGTTTTTGATAAATCATTTCTTTTTCATGTAGCAATTTCATAAAACAACAAATTGATATATTATTCCCAGAGATATTCTTCACTGAAATTCTCTCTGTAATAATTTTTTTCTTTGACTCTCTTTATTTCCATTCCAGTTACAGGCACCTTCAGTTGCAGTTTGAAATTCACTGTGAAAGATTGTGACCCAAACACAGGAGAACCTGATGATGAAGGTTATCCAGATGAATATGTGGTCAGTTGTTGCTTCTTCTTATTATTATTTATTTATACATATTTCTTTTAAGTAATTCATCCCAAGTAAGGCAGGAGTGCCACTAGTATGCAGTGGGTTACAGAGAGTGAAAGTGAGAGAAAAGACTGGGTATGGGGGTGATTAAGGAAAGGATAAAAGTTGAATGAGGTTCAAAACAACAGAAGAAGCTAATCTAGTTTGCATGCTTAAATTTATGTAATTGGGGCGCCATGGAGAAAAAACTTGTCAGAGCAGTTGCCATGAAAATATTTGTAGAAAAGTTAGAAGGAAGCCACATCACATCTGTAAGAAAGTGACTGAAGTCAAGATGCCAAGTCCGGATTGATTACATTGCATATCTGTCTTTGGATTTTATCGAAAACCATGAAATGAACAGCAGGGGAACTAGACCAGATATGACAACAGTATGGTAAATGGTAGATTTGTAGATGTGTAAGATGGATTCTGACCAGAAGAACCTGGCACCACAGTGAACCAACTTTCCTTGCAGTAGATGCAGCTATTGATTCAATGTAGTTGTTCCACTTCAAGTCAGTTGAAAATGTGAGGCCAAGTAGGTGCAGTGAGATGCTTTCCTGGAGTCAAGCATCAGCCATGCTGATGGTGGGCAGGGAAATTTCTCTGTGGTGGTTAAATGAGAGCAATTTTGGAGGCATTAAAATTTACAAGCTATTTCTTGTCCAGTTAACCACTTTGTCGTCACTGCCAGATTTACTATTAAAACAGGAGTAAATGGTAGTGTCATCTGTATAAATGTCTACTTGGGAACTGATGACATCTGGTAGATCATTGATGAAGATCAGAAACAGTGTAGGACCCAGGATAGAGCCTTGGGGGACACCTGTGTTTGTGTGAAAGGATCTGGAAGCGAGCCCATTCAGAATGACCTTCATTTCACTATTTGATAGGAATGATTGGATTAAATCAAATAATCATCCCCTAATACTGTAGCCCTGAAGTTTATATAGAAGACCAGCATGCCAAACCCTGTCAAATGCCTTTGAGATATCTAGAGCCACAGCTCAAGCTTCACTGTTATTATCAAGAGCTTGATACATATTCATTTATGGCTGTAAGCATGTCAGCAGTACACCAAACAAAATGGAAACCATATTGTTTGTCAGAGAGCAGGTTGCGAGGGGGATGATGCTTAACCACATCAGAATTGATTAAAGCCTCATATACTTTGCTGAAAAGTGGTAGGAGACTGATAAGGCAGTAGTTAGTGGGATCAGAAGGTTCTCCAGAGTTGTTAAAAACAGGAACTACAGTTGAGGACTTCCAAGAGGCTGGAAAGCAGGAAGCAGCAAGATAATAGTTGTAGGGTTTGGAGAAAACTGGAGCTAACTCGGGAGTACATTTCTTTAGGAAGACTACTGGTACCCCGTCACTTCCACTTGCCTTATGGGAGTCTAATTTAGAAATGATGTCCAAGTTCAGCAATGGGGTTAAGTAATATCACTCAATAGAGCCTCAGTTGAATCAACTATAATGAAATATTTATTATTTATCATTTTATATAAAAATAAATATGAAAAGAAATTTTTTTTTTTTTTATTCATAAATTTATAAAAATGTATGTGACTAAGAAAATTTAATAAACACATAACGACAAATAAATGTAATTGTAAATTTGGAAAAAAAATTATTTTCTGGACATTTTTTTTTTATTTGCCCTCACCACATAAATTCTCTAAGATAGGTTAAGAGTGTCTCCTCCTCTGAAGCAAATATTTCTTTAATTTACACTCGTCATATGTTTATTCAAATTTTCTTGTTCTATAGTTATTTATAAAATGGTAAATAATAAATATTGCAGTTTACATATTTTGATAATTTTGTAATTTTTATTAATTTTTGGAATAAAAAGATTTCTTTGCAAATTTGTTTATAAAATGGTAAATAATCTTTATAAAAGGTAAATAATAAATATCACATATTTGGTTCATTTATTTTTATAATGTTGTAAATAAATATTGCTGAGGGAGTCAAAAGTGTATACAGTGATAGCATTGTTAAAGGAATAACTAACCTTTTGAGACACACTTTTTAAAAATTTTTGGTGGGGTATAAATTGAGGGAGGGGGCAACGCTGACATGTGTGTCTCAAGGCACTGGAAATCGCAAGGATGATTATGGATACAATGCCTGACAACTTCATGGTCAGAACATTAGATATAATTTCTTGGTTCATTGCCAGATTTATGTAGCACAGAAATTACCCACAGATTTTGAAAACAGCTTTCTGATGTTTCAGCAATTCAGGATCAGATGAGGAGGGCATCATGGGGTCTGATCTTTCACAGATTGGAAATGTAGATTAAATTTCACTAAACTTTGACTTCCCTTTATGCACACAGAGTATTTAAAGAGCCTGAAGACAGTCAACATCATAGCTTCAAATCTGACTTTTTTTTTAATTACTGATTTTAAATTCTTTCTTGCTCATTTGTTAGTTTAGGCCATAGATATAATTTAATTTCAGTCATACTGTCCCAAATCTGGCAATTCACATGTCCAGAAAAATGAATACTTAGTTCTTATAACAGACCCATAATAATGAGATTTTAAAAAACAATTTTCACTGCTTTCTTTTTAGACTCTACAGTTTGTGTGTGAAATTTTTGTTTAAATCTCCATAAAAGTTAACTGAACTTTTTTTCTTTTTTTTTTAATTTTTTAAAGCTTGAAGACATTGAGGTCAGTGTTGGTGACCATGTCCAACGAGTAATGAAACCAAACTTTGGTGCCTCTTGGGAAGAAGTAGGAGTGACTAATGAATTGGAAGACACTTTTGTCTTGTCAACTGTCAAAACACTTGAAGGTTTGATACTTTTAAATATTGTATAATTTTTGAGCTTAGCCTTTAATAATTTGAAAGTTATCAATTTGACAAACTAACAAGAAATACTGTCTTAGAAATGTTTTTTTTTTATAAATCTCAAATAAGATTAATTTCTGTTGATGACCATAAGTGTTTATGATATCAGATTTTTTTTATTTTATTTTTTTGTTATTGTTATTTACATTCAGACTATTGTCCTTATCTTTGTTGTTGTTATCATATTTCAGCCACTGTGCCCTCTAGCCTTCATTAAGTGTTTTTCATATGTTTAATTATCTTATTTCAGCTCAATAATAATAATAATTTATTTTTCAATTCAAATATTAAAAGTATTTATCAGTATTTGTTTGCATACAAGAAAATAACTCTGAAAAACCTGCTTGTAGATAATTTATGGTTAGAATGTTTGAGATGAGGAATTATTGCTATTACATGCCTTTTTATTCAGACTAGCATTCTCGTCTTGGTTGTTATGCTCACAACCATCCAACATTCATTCTTCAGGTGTCTGTCTTGATAACTTGCAATTTTGAACTAAACACTTTATTCAAACCATGTGGGTAGGTTGATCTCATTTTTCTTTCCAAAAAATGGAAAAGTGACTAGACTTGAGATAATTGATACAAATTTATCCCCTAACCATGGAAAGCAGAATGAGAATACTCTACTTCCACAAGTTGAATAAAAGGTTTGATTTGAAATTCTCAGAAGTATAGCAGGTTATATTGGCCAAGGTATTTTGTGTCTAAATAGAAAAACATCTAATAATGTAATATATAATTAACTAAATGCAATTATCTAATATATAATTATCAAAATGTGAATGGTTTTGTTACTATTTTCATGTCTGTTACCATCATCTACACATAATGTCCAGAAACGAATGAAGTAACTGTGAAAAGCCGCCTCTTAGTTAATCAATGATTAACAAAAAAAAATGTGGCTCATTTTATAAGCAACAGAACATGAATTTTCAACTGGTTGTTTTTAAATTATTTTCCAAAGAACTTTTATTTTTTTTTTTTTTTTTTTTTTTAAATCAAATTGATATTATGTTGATGCAAATGTATATTTACTCTCTGATTTCATTTTCACATTTTCTTTTGCAGAAGCAGTCAAGAATATAATCCAGTATCTTGGCATGCAACCCTGTGAGCGGTCAGACAAGGTTCCACCCAATAAGAACTCACACTCTCTCTTCTTAGCAGGAGTGTTCCGTGGTGGCCATGATGCTCTGGTGCGGGCAAAGTTGGCTCTGGCTGATAGTGGAGTTACTATGCAACTCACAGTCAGATCATCAGACCCTATTGTTTCTGAAATCCTTGTATCTGCAGTTGGTTAAGGGAGAAATTTATACAGTCAGTTTTCCCTTAGAATTTTAGCAGCAGCAAATTTACTGACCAAAACAAAAAAAAAAAACAATATGAAACCATAAATTTTTACACAGTCATCAGTTGCCATTGAAAGCGTTTATTTTTTTTTATTCTCTCTGTCTTAGGTTTATGGTTTCAACTCAAATATATAAATTATCAAATTGTTACAGCATCACCAAAATAAATGACAAGGACATACATGACCATTTCCTTTGGCTATTTCAGTTCTGATAAAAATACCTCTTTCCTTTCATGCTGATATCCTAAAAAAAAAGAAAAAAAAACAGAAACCAGGAGGAATCTCTTTCTTTCACACCAGTATGGTGTTAATAAAAAGAGAGGGACTGCTTTTTCTTTCATACTGATATGATTGAGAAATTACAAACTTTTATCCATGCTAGGAAAATCTCTTCCAAACTTTTTAAAAAGTTTCTATTCCAGATTCTCACTAAAATTTTCCTTGTTAACCAAGAGAGTTCATCTCTTTGACCTCAATTAATGCAGTGAAATGTTTTCTATTTGTTAATCTTTATCTTCCTCTTTGTAGGTTTTTTTTTTTTGTCTATACCTATATTGTCTACATTTTTGGCCTTCAGTCCCATCCCATTTCTTATGACCTGGAAAATTAAATTTTTTTTGTTACCCTCCTCCATCAGCCCCTACCCACCATTTGTAATTAACACTTGGCTTGTCAGTTGCTGCTGCTTTATCGTCTCTATTCAATAATCTATAACAATTGTTAAAATACGAAATAATAAAAGTTTTGCTCTAAAATATAAGCATTTAGATTGTTTTCATTTGAATTGAATATTTTCTTATCTACACCTTTACAATTAATATTTAAGCCATTGAATCAGATTTGCTATCATTTCTATCTGAATAAATCTGCCCACTGGAAGTGACATTCCTCCAATTGCAATGAATCAGACTTTCAAGCCTTACAAAATACATTTTAGAAAAATTTTTAAAAACAGTCTCTTCATGTTTTTGTTTACATTTCATCGTTAGGTGCTTTTTCTTTTTAATTTTCTTTATTACAAGTCATTATTTGTATTATTAGTAACTGTTAAAAGGGCTTAAAAAACTAATCTAGCAAACTCATTTTTGCAAATGATTATTAAATCATATATGTAAATAATACAGAAAAAAATAATTACAAATACAGTGAAACCCGGATATAAGAGAAACCCGGATATAAGAGAGGTTTTCTCTGGTCCCAAATTAGAGCCCATACTTACCTAAACAAAATAGACCAAACCCGGATATAAGAGACTTCTTCTCCGGTCCCGACAACTCTCTTATATCCGGGTTACACTGTAATTTTTTTTATCTCTACAAATTTGTATGATGAACATATTGTAGTATATTTTTACTTTTTAATCAATTCACCTTGAGCAAGGCAATAATGCCATTAAGATGTAAGGGACTACTAGGAGTGCAAGAGAATGAAAAACACTTTAGAAGAAACTCAATCAAAGGAATAATAAAAAAAAAAAAATCAAGGTTATCTTTCTTTCATTTCCATACCTTTACTTTCACTTTTCTTTTTTTTTTCTTTCCCTCTTCTTTCTCTGCACCTCCTTTTCCTATTCTGTTTTTCCTAGTTCTTGTTCACTCAGCTATCACTAAAAAAATAAAGAACCACTATGTATAGCATATCTAAATCCATACACTGTACACCGTATCTTGATAAACTGTGATGACCCAAGATGGTGTGTCTGTGTTTGTCTACAATTTCAAAACACTATTGATGTGGGCAACAGTATTCAGGGAAAAACTGGGCAGTGATGGAGTCAACAAGAAATAGAATTAAGGCTTCATTCACACCCTCAAGGACAAACTTGCATAAATTTTGTGGGAGAAGAAAAAAATCAATGAGATTAGAGACCCCCTGCCTCACCTGGTGTAACTAGGTTTGTAAATACATTCCTGTCTAGAGAAATATGGCTAGTTAACACTGTTGATAAATTTGCATAGCAATTGTAGCAACTAACCTGCATACGAATTGCAACACTTTCTTATTTACTAGGGGATTTGTGGTTACTACAGTGTGTGTATATATATATATATATATATATATATATATATATATATATATATATATATTATATATATGGTACAAAAGACCACAAAGGCAGCATTGGTTTACCATTGGGTGTGAACCCCTTTTGTCAGTGCAGTTTGTAACCTCTGTCAAGTAATTGTAACTCATAATACAGATCTGGTAACAGCCATGATTGATCTGCATAAAATATTGATTTTTTTTGCAAATGAGTTAGTGACTTCATTTTTCTGTTTTAATCAACAAAAAATAAGATATTTATAAAGTTAATTAAAAAAAAAAATGTATATTCTAAATATTTCTGATAATTATGGAGGGTGTGCTGTTACCAGTAAACTGAATTCACATTTCTGCTGATACTCTTTGTTCACTTGGCACTAACCCCCTTGCAGACGGCATGAATCCATTTCTCCTTGCATTTCGTATCATTATCAGATATCACAAATCATCACTGATGTATACTACAGTAGTTAATAAAAGAGTGGGTAAGTAAGCACTTGATCAGACCACTCTCTCATAATTACATGCCTAGGTAGTAGAAGCAATAATGCTGTTACCTCCATTGTTAACCTCAACAGTGGCCAACCCTTCAGCCACTAGCACATAAGGGTTTTGTGATGTCAACAAACACTCGTTGCCACTTTTGTAATATTCATTGTAGTAGAGACTTTGTAATTGCAAATACAACAATAGTAACATCGTCGAACAACACTGGTGTCAGATGCCTTTGAATATCACTCAAACTAATAGTATTTGCTCAATAATATTTGCTTAAAATGAGATTGCCTGTGTTTGCTCTCTGGTGATCCGTGTTCAAACTCCAGTGTCAGCAGCAACACTTTATTCCTATATAACAAAAGAGTTACAGGGTGTGGAGTAATTAGGAACAGAAACATTAGTAATGAGGAGAAAGAAAAGATTAATGTGTGCACTGGGCGAGTGACTGAAGCTGAGCTGCCAGATCAGGACCAATAATATTGCTGATTCTTTGGATCTTATCAAGGAACTCCAGGTAAGTAGCAGGACAATGGACCATATATGGCAGTAATATTCCAGGCATAGACGAATGGTAGACTTATAGATATGCAAGTTAGAGATTTCGGAGAGAAAAGTTGTTGAACTACCAACTTTTTGGGTCAAGTCACTTTTTTGGATTACTTGACCAACACTTATCCACTGGGCCAGAGTCAGTACCTTACACTAAATGGTTTCAAACAGTAATAATTCTTATAAAATATATTTCCACATAACAGAAAATTGTTAAAGTTCCTTTCCTTCTTTATGATGTACAAACTTTTTTTTATGTTCATATCATTTCCTAGGCCAAAAAAGTATACACATCAAATTTGAGGGCTGAAAAACAAACAAACACCCTCTTGATTTGATTCTGTATAACAAACAAACACCCTCTTCCCAATTTTATGTTGTTTTTTTTTTTAAACATTTCATCCCAACCCTCAAGTAATATTTCTTAGTTACATCGACCTATTTCAACAGTAAAACAATGAGACCTAGTTGCCAATCTAGTAGCACGCTTAAATTCATGAAGTCAAGGTTCCAAAGAGGAGATATCATTAGAAACACTGCCATGAAAATCTTTATACAATAGAAAGAGAGAAGCCACATCATGGTGGTGGGAAAGTGACTGAGGTCGAGATGCCAGGTCAGAACTGATAACATTACAGATTCTTTTTTGGATTTTGTTGAAAATCTAAAGAAATATAATAGGAGTACCAGACCAGATATGGCAGCAATATTCAATATAATCATTGTTTGAAAATTGTTTTTATTTTTCTGAATCTGAAAAAGATTTAGCTTTTTAACAAAACACTATAAAATACTTTACAATTCTATAAATGCTTTATAAGTAATCATGAAATTTAAATAAATATATGTCATAAAACATACAAGAAGTATGTTGAAGGTATTTCACAAAAACTGAAGTTTATAGAAAATTATTGTGCTTTATCATCATTGATTTTCATATTAAATTTTGATTAATTAAAATTATTCAGTGACAAGTTGCAAAGAAAAAGTAATAAATTGATATTTAAATATGGAAAAAATTATGACGTTTTAAAAATATGTTATATACCTGGTATAGTTTAAGCATAGCTTAGTCTGGTACAAAGTCAATTAAAATGGTTAAAGATTGTGTTGCTTCAATCTATCAAATAAGGACAGCCTATCAGCTTTGAAAATCAGTAGTCAAAAATCTGAATTTTATTTGGGTGTGAACACAAACTCCTGACACCAGAGGGAATGCACAATTATTTTACCAATGATGCCAACTTACATCTGATGATAGTTCAGGGTCATAAAAAAATGATTTTTGGTGTGTCAATTGGCAATGAAGATCAGCATTTAAATTTGAGATTTAATCTGGGTTTTGAAAACTAACCACTGGTTTCAAAACTACTTTGTTCATTTGTAACAGGCTATTTCTTTAGATTAGGAATTCTGTTGTAATTGATGTCAATTCAGTGAATAATACGTTACGCAAGTTGCTTACTTATGTGGAAAGATTTTGTAACAGGAAAAAAATGTATGAGATTAACTGAGCAAACATTTGTCTGCAACATAAATTTAGTACCAATTCAATCAAAAAAAAAAAAAATTATTAAAAGACATTAAAACATAAAATTAAATAAGTATTGCATCATCCAGTTCTGGCAGCCTACAGTTAAGATTTGTTTCCCTGCAATTTCTGGCTTCCCCCAAAGTAAAGCTCACCACTGAAATGGTAATCATGAAAGAACCCTTTGCTCATTGTTTTAAAAGTGGCAAGGATGCTGGGAATAGTCCAAAAGATCCCAAGAAGAGTACTTTGAAGGACACTGTAGCAGGAGGAGTTACAGCTTGTTCCAGACAAGGTGGTTTTCTTTCAAAATAAATGAATTCAGCATA